CCCATATCCTTCCACTGTCCGAAAATTGAGCAAATCTTGATTCGTCTGAGAACAATATGGTCTTCCAAAAGTCCAGAGGCTTGGCCATCATATCACTTGCCCACTTCTTTCTTCTGACCATGTTGGCAGGTCTTAATAAGGGCTTCCATCTAGCTGCTCTGCAATGATAACCCAGATTTCGGGCTCATCCCACCAACTTTGGCCACTTCTGCAGCCGTTAATCTGGGATCCATTTCTATGCTTCTCTTGACAGCTTTTTTTGTCCTCTTCGATGGACCAGGACGACCCGGATGCTGCTCAGTTGTTTCCTTGCCGTGTTTCCTGAACTGCATGATGATTCTGTTGACTGTTGAAAGCGGGATTCCCAAATTCTGCAAAAGTTGTTGCTGACTTATTCCACCATCTGCTTGACCAACTATCCTTCCTCTAACAAAATCTGACAATTCGAGAGAACCTTGAGTCCTAGGCATGTTGTAGCACAAGATAGTTAGTGTGCAGACCATTTTCATTTATATAGTGCTCTATGAACACAAATTAGTTTGCGTAAATCAGTTAAATGACGAAAAATTAGGTGTCTGTTTACTTGTGACCACTCAGTGTATATACATTAACTTTGTCCTATTTTGTATATTGACTTAAGACTAAATGAATTCCAGAAGTATCAAACCTATCTAAAAAAAATGATATATATATATATATATATATATATAGAAATAATAAAATTAATCATATTCCTATTGCAAATTCTCATCTACATCTATTGCATTAAAAAACATATGAGAAAAGGACATTGTCTGTATACATTTTTAAGAGTGTTTTATCCAATTTTCAGTAAAGAGAAGCAGAAATATCCTAATTTTTTAAAGTTGAATGAGAAATAAAATATAATTGAATCTAAACCCAATAGTAGAAAGCCTTTATACAGTGTGTGGTTATTCAGGAAGGTTTTTGATTTTTGTAAAGTTAACTATTTATATTTATTATGCTATAGATTATAGAAACAGCTTTCAATGCCCTCAAGTCAAGTAGTACAGAACCATACTATAGGAAGCAATGTTGGGAAGTCATCAAAGGATTTCTAGTGGCCAACATTCAACAGGATGATGATAGGCAGAAAATGCAACAGCTGTTTTCTCATCCAAGGTTGCTTTTTTTTATTTTATGTTTAAACATAATTTTTTTATTTATGCATTTCTTTTAGTGAGATTATATAATTGTTATTTGTATACTTAATGAGGCATATAATTTTTGTACTATTCTTATATTTTCAAAAGTTGAAATGTCATTATTTTTCTGTGCTAAGTTCTGAGTTGGAAAGTTCAATCCTTGTATTAAATATTATCAAATTACTGTTGTTTGTTTTGGTTTGGTTTTAAGATCTCTTAGAATTATGATGTTATGGTATTACTATATATATTTTAAAATATTTTTTTCTTATTGTAGTTTTGGAAGTAGTGAAATTCTTACCATTCAGGGGCCTTTCTACAAATGTCCAGATACAGAAACCAGAAAAGTTCATGAGATAGCACTTACTGCTATGTTTGGTAAGAGTAAGAAATATGTACATATTGTTCTAACATTGAGTACAAATTTAAAAGTTTATAAAAAAGGTGATGAAATATAATGTGTAAAGATTATATTTGTCTATTTTAAAATACATAAAACTATAACTGTTTGTCAGTTTTAGCTTTTTTATGAACAATTGATAGAATACTTAAGATATTTAATTTTTTTACTGAAATTATCTTTTAAAATGTAAACATATTTTTTAAGAAATAATGTGGGCTTGTAAACATGCCAAATGCTGATTGAAAAACTGACACAGAATGATATCAAATATGTGTTTTATATGTTGTGATGTAATGTTTGTGTTAGCCATCCTTTGTTGATCAAAATCAGAGTAGCATTTTTATAGCTGATTACTCTAAAGTGTTTGAGAAACAATGAAAATATCTTGAATTGATATTTATTATCACAAGTAAGGGCAAATGCTAACTGTAATGATAGGATTTAGTATTTAAATTAATTTTATGAAGTTTGACAAAAGAAAGAAATCAGACTTGACGTAAAGATGAAGCAAAAGTTTATTAGCCTTTGGTAGAGTATTGTTATACCTACTTAATTGTTTTAAGTTTAATGAACTAGGAATTATAAGATCAATATTATTATTTTGGGTTGTGAAAATATATCAAGTAGTTAGAAAGGCAATATCTTTGGTAATTTAACCATTATTGGTCAGCTAGTAAAAATTAATAAATATATATATCTATTTTTATATTATTTATGTAGTTGTAAAAAATATAAGTTGCTGAAAAATAATTATATTAATTTAAGTGAAGTTCTTAAAAATCTAAGAAATATATAGTTTAATTCAATGTTTTTGTAAATATTAAGATAAAATGATTGCAAAGGATGTGTTATATAAAATTGATATAAAAGGAACTGAACTAACAGCTTTCTAAGTGTTGAAGAGAAATATAAATTCTTAGATTTAATGATTACTTTTCAGGTGCAAGATACAGATATTGCTGCACTAGCCCTTAAAGATAAATGTATATGAAAATAAATATAAAGTATTTAATAATTAAATTGATCTAATAATCTGGATGCAATGTCAAGTTTATTGCAATTGCCAAACTTGTATTAGTGTTAGTTTCTGTACACAGTTACTTAATACGATTTCTGTGACCATGATTACATATTGTTGAATTTAAGAATCTTAATTTTTATGGACCATTTAGAACTTTAAAGCCTCTTCAGAAATCTTATGATAATTATCTATTACTTTAACATATTTGTTTATATTACGTTGGTAAGAGAGATTTAGGTGGTAAAGAAATTTTAATTAACTACTTATAATTAACATAAAAGCAGTTAATAATTCTATAAACAGAATTTTAATGAAATATGTATTAAATTAACAGTGGAAGTGTACAAATTACACAATCTTTTTATAGTGGCTGCTGCCATTAAAGAATTGAGATCTGTTGTTCTACCATTCATGGTGTCATTAGTTCGACATTATACGTTGGTTGCAATTAGTCAGCAGTGTAGTCCATTTGATGTTACTGGTCGTCAGAATAAACTTCAGGGTATGGATCCTCTTGTACTTATTGATGCTTTAGCAGCAATTATGGGGCATGAAGAGAAGGAACTGTGCAAGCCAGGTCAGCTGGCCCTTGTAATAATTCTGGATACAGCTACTACCATTTTGACATCAAAAGAACGGGTAAGGTATTTATTTCTACATGTATCAATAAGCATAATTATATTAGGCTAGACTATAGACTGAGTGAAATATTCTGTTATACAGATAATAACCTACATTGATTTTTTTGAGAGAGTACATTTACGAGGGTTTTTGCAAAAAATAAAATAGCAATTCCTTGAATACAGATGTATAATAAAGATAACTTTGCCTATTCTGATGATAATTGTATATTGATTTTCATTCTGTAGCTATAATTAGAGTTAAGGATTTATAAAGGTGAGGAGAGAGAGATGATATAAATTTGTATATGTAAATATATTGTTTCTACAGGCATGTCAGTTACCATTTTTGGACTACCTCGTGGAAAGAATGTGTTCATTGTGCTATGACAGGGCATGGTATGCTAAGTTGGGAGGGTAAGTGTCCTTTTGGATAGTATATGCAATTCTTTTTTAAATTTATATGGAGTTTTTGTACTTATCAAAGTACAAGATATATTAATTTAAGTATGTTGATGATAACCATACTATCAGTGTTTTAGATCTTGAGCTATCTTAAAGACTTAATTTAGATTAAACTTTTACAACCCCGGTAATGAGTATAATGCCACCTCTGACATAATGAATAATTCTTAAAAATCAACATGTCTGAAACACAAATAATTCAAAAACATTAGCATAACAATCATGGAACCTTTTAATTCTTTAATAATGATGCAATTTTTAACCCTATGATAACAATCTACTTACATTGTAAGTAGGTACTTAACTCTTGGGAAAGTTCTTTACAAAAATTAAACTAGTAATAGTTTTGAATTTGACATGAACAGTCCTAAAAGTATGTAGCTTCAGAAAAATAAAATAAATAATTTTGTTTTTTTCTACTACATCTCATAAAACTCATTATTTAATTTAGTTATTTCCACTCAGACTCTGGATAGTTCACATGCAAGGTAATTTTCATTTTGAGTTTAAATATACTATTTCTTATCTTATAATTTTCACATTTTATTTGCATAATCTCTAGAACCTCCTAAATGAATATCAAAAGCTTGTTAAGGTAAATGTTTATATATTATTTTTCATTTTCTCTACTAAATCACTAACTACAGTTAGTTCACAGTGACCTCAATTTTAAAAACTCAAAAGTTCTTTTTAACAGAAAGTGAATGATAAGATAAATAAACATGGTTGGAAACTCTTTGTGGCATACAAATTATAGAAAACCATTACGAACTTAAAAGAAAAAAAAGCCCCACCTGAGGTGCCTCAAAATGTAATAAGAAGTTTTACAATCTAGTGTAACAATACAACGAAGGAATGTAACTTTTCAGCAAGTAGATTGTAATAAAGAAAATAATCACAGTTTTCAGATTGACTTACAATGTTGTCATCTTACAAAATTTGAAAATCGTAAAACAAAGCATGTGGACAGTTGAATTTCAGAGTTCTTGACATCACTAACTTCAAAATTCACTGTTTTCAAAAGATTTGAGCAAAAACTAAGCCTCGAACTAATGCAATGTTACCAGATTTGCAGATTAGTTTTCTCCACTGACAAGCTGTATCTGCACAGGTGGGAAATTGAACAGTTCCTACCATTTCAATAATAATTACAACTGGGAGCAAAAAATCAAGAATTAGGGCTAACAAATTCAATCTTTTTTTTTTAAGTATTTAATCCTCGACAAATATTAATGAAATTTGCATCAAAAGAAAATTTAAAATCTCTACATTTCAGTTATAATTTTATTTTTGAGGATAATGTGAAAGGATAGATCACACATAATTTTCCAAAACTTGAAAGGGTTAATATTCAACTGACAAAGTTAAAATAATAATGTGCAATCTGTGGATTAGTGTATAAAGAGGAAGTTTGACTTAATTAGCTTTCATAACATTATTTATGCATGTATGGCATAGCCTTCACATAGCTCACTAGTATTACAAAATTCTAACTCTAGTAGACAATGAAGTGAAATTTATACCATTGAAGTTTTAACATCTTAGTTGAAGTATCTGGATGACAAGCAGAATCACAGTATGCCTGATCCCAGTTTTATGTAATCTCTAAAGCTTTCTAAATACACTTCAAATGTTTGTTTTCAGTAAAACTTTATATTTTATCTGTTATTTTCTCTTCCCTAACTATTCAAGATTTGTCAATTTGACCAACCTCTGAACCACCAAAAGAAAAATCTAAATAATTCTAAATTACCTTTCTTTTCTTTCTAAAATGATTTCAAATTGTAACATGAAACTACATTCGTTTATTCTAAGTAGCATTAAACTTGTAACAATATACATCTATTTATACATAAATTTTATTGTTTTATTGTGCTTTGAACCATGTATAAGTAATATTCGTGCCATTATAAGTTGTAAATCACTTGGAGGACATAGAGCTCACGTTACGCTATCAAATTACATTTTCCACCATCTGCTTACATATGTGCCTTGTGAAACATTTTTATTGTATTATTGTATTAACTGACCTAAAGAGAATCCTATTTTAGTTACTTTTATAACAATAAATAAGTAATACACATGAAAAACAAGAAATAAAGTACTTGCCTGGGTCTTTTTTTTTTATTTTTTTTTTACTGTTGACTGTTGATGAAACTTAACCATACTTTTTTTTATACTAATGGTAGTAATTCAATAAATAATTTTTATTTTATTAAATAATGCACCAAAGAACATAGAATAATAACATGCAAAAATCAGACAACATCCCATAACTATCACAATTTTTGTAGCTTTCATCCTAGCTAGTCAATATATTTCTTGTGGGAATGACACTTGTACTAAAAGGGAAATTAACAATTCTCTGTTCAGAACATAATGTAGTATAAACATCACTTGATAGATGAATACCTTGGCTTTCTATTGGTTATAAATAATATATTATTAAATGTGAAATAGTATTATTAACAAATCTTAAAAGAGAGGATGTGACAGGTGGGTATGGCAAAAGGGGTCTGATTTTCTACTTAATGGCTCTGTAACCAAACAAAATTATGGTTTGTCTGAGTGATGACAATTTCATAGTGAGTAATTTATGTTAAATTTCATACTTACTGGAGGGGTGGGGAATAAATTACATAAGAGAAGATGCCTAGAGAAAAAATGTCATTTCTCACACTAAAGGAAGTCTTTTTTTCATATTGCCTTATAAACTAAGAACTTAAAACTTATATACTTTCAAAATATGGATTATTAGCTATGATTTTATGCTATACCAATTGCTATAACTTAAGCAAAATGTAGTTTAAATAAAATTTGGATATAAGTCCCAAAAAAACTCGTGACTGACAGACACAGTAAAGGATGCCCATGTAGAGAGTTAATTTATGTCAAATTTTGAAATATGAATGATAATGTGATTAATTCCTAACAATTGAATATAGAATATCCTGCTTACAAAATATAATTTGGCATCAACATTATTTATGCCTGATCTCCTGTCATATTAAAAGTAAATGTTGAGCTTTGCCTACCTGCGCAGCTTTTCAAAGCATGGGAAGTGGCATAAATAGGAAACAAATGAATGTTCGGACAGACAATACATGTATGATACCTAAAATTAGATCATGCATTTATTTTAATTTACGAAACGTACTGTAAAAAAATCAATAAATAACACTATGATTTACCTTTGATGACTTAATTTTTTTTAGCTGGTATTTACTATAGTAAGACATGTTTTACAGGCAGTCAGAAAATGTAAGATAAAAAAGACAGAATTAATATGTTTTCAATCCATGTTGTTTAAGAGGAACTTTGAAATTGATTTTATAGAAGAACTTTGTTGCATGGTTTTAGTGTTTCTTCTTTATATATAGAATACTAGCAGTTCCACTTCAAATTATTTTAACAAAGTGTGTATATTTTTTCAAGTCATTTAGCTCTTGAAAACTATCCTGGAAATGTTAAATGTTTATGCTGTACATTTAATATTTATTTTATTGATGACTTAATTAGGATAAAGAAATTCCAATTCTTTAAATATAAGTACTTCAGTACACTGTGTTATCAAGGTTAAAATATTGATTGGAAAAAATATAGGATGAAAGAGCCTGAGGATTATTTTAATAGCAACTAAAACAGGTTATGATGTCTTATTTTGTTTAATGCACTTTTATGATAGATATATAAAACCTTATACTTTATAATCACAGGTTTAATTGGAATATATTTTGTTTTTTTCAGCTGCATTGCTATTAAGTTCCTGTTTGAGAAAATGATGTTAAAATGGGTCTTTGCACACCAGTACCTCTTCCTGAAGGCACTACTCTTTGTAATGATGGATTTAACAGGAGAAGTATCCAGTGGAGCAGTAGATATGGCAAAGTAAGTAGTTAGTGTTATCTCATATCTGTAGTCTATTTTCAAAAAAACAAAAAATAAGTACCAAATTAACTCTCTCGATACGGTCTCTGTCGAGCTGACTGGCCATGTGACCTCTTTGTACTCATTTAAATTCTTTATAGATTTGATACTACTAACTTAATATAGTGTGTATGTATGTATCTTCACAAAATTTGGCAGTCTTTCAGTAAACATTATAAGTCTTTCACACACAATAAATCATATTTTTTAGCAAAGTATTGTTAATAAACTAAAATAAAGACTTGTCCATGAATATATTGAGTATTTGTTTAGACAAAGTTTGTGTGCAAAGTAATTTTCATGTTGAGATTAAAAATACTTTTCTTCATTTCAAAAATCTCAAACTTCCTTTGTGAAATCCCTAAAACCTCCTAAATACACTTCAGGTGTTTGTTTTCACTAAAACTTCATTTCATCTATTATTTTTCTCTTCCCTAACTCTATACAGCATTGGTCAATTTGACTGACCTCGTAACCACCAAAAAATAAATTGAAATAAATCCAAATTACCCTCTTTTATTTCTAGAATAACTTCAAATTTTAACTTCATTCATTTATCCTAATTAGCTTTTAACTTGTAACAGTATACATCTATTTATAATTAAATTTTAGTGTTGTATTGCCCTTTGAACCATTTCTAACTACTATTCGTGCCATTATAAGTTGTAAATCACTTGGGGAAAGTGGAGGTCAAATTACATTACCCATAAGCTGCACGCGCGTGTGTGCCTCGTGAAACATTTTTATTGTATTATTATTATTATTTTACCTAATCTAACTTTAACTAAACTAGAGATATTCCTATTTTTACATGTTAGTTATTTTTATAATGATAAATAAAGAATAATCATGAAAAACAAAAAATAAAGTACTTACCTGAGTAAGTTTTTGTTTTTCCTCTCAACTGTCCATGACACTTAAGCCTACTTTTTTATACTAATGATAGTAATGCACTAAATAAGTTTTATTTAACTAAATAATGCACCAAAGAACATTGAATGATAATATGCAAACTGCAAGTATAATTAAATATTGGAAATAACTTGCTAAAAGACCATGATGTGTGCAGTAAATGATGCCCAGGCAGATAGGATTAAGTAGTTTTAAACTTGAGATCAACTTTTTACTAGTTATGTTTCTTTTGCAAGTAATATGTTATTTGTAAGAATTTAAAATTTTGAAAATATTTTGTTGTAATATTTTTATAAAAACATTGAAAAATTCTGTATTTGTTGTAATTTCAATAACTAGTTTTATGTATTCCTGCATTATTGTAAAACTTTCCTATAAAGTTTTTATTATATAAAACCATAAGTTTCATCTTTTTCTTTTTTTTGGTTTAAGAAAAACATCAGGCACAGCTTCAGTATGTTTTTTTTTTACCCCTTACCAAATTACATAAGCAAGCAACCTTTTTTTAATTTGTTGATCATAAGGTTTCATTTTGTGTGTGTAATTAACTTTTAAACCATTTTATACTCATACATGTGTTTTTACATTTCATTGATTTTGTTTGGTATTTTAAGCAGTTACTTAGACCAATGAGGCATAATGTAATCACAGCTCAAGACTAGTACATTACAAGTCTACCTAAAAGAGTGTTTGCACTATGATTGGCTCATGAAAAATGGCATTACAGCCTGGCCACTTTGCTTGTATGAAGTGCAATGATGGACAGATGCACACCACTCATAGTTGAAACTGTTTAAATTCTTGAACGATAAAACACAATATTATGATTAAATACATAATTTTCACTACAGAAAATCAATACATAATATAATCTCAGGTTCTCCAATCATTATGATGATCAGAAGATCCCAGCAAGTTGCATGCATTAGGGAGTCTTCCTAAAGAGAAAGAACTGGTGGATAGTCATGAACAGAGATTTAATTTTTGTAATGTTATATGGTATTAAATGACACTCGGTGACAAAGATTGCTGAAACAATCATTTTCTGAAAGAAGCATGCATCCTTGGATTTTGAGCACCTCAAATTGTAAAATTTCAACCATTTTTTTTCTATCTTTCTGCAAGAAAGACATTCTTGCTGTTAAAGCAAGTATTTTCTTGTCTTTTTCATTTATCAACTTTATCTGTTTTTCAATGGTAGCTTCAAGTGCCATAAATAAAGTGTTCTAATTTGAATCTGTAGAAGAACTTTGATTGCATGTCTCAATGTTGGCTCCATTTTGAGAGCTTAAAAAATATGATGAACAGATGTTTTTGCATTCTAGCCACACATTTACTCAGCAACACTTCATTATCACTAGCATTTCTTTTACTCGATGATGGCTAGCTGCCTTCCCTCTAGTATATCACTGCTAAATTAGGGATGGTTAGTGCAGAGAGCCCTCGTGCAGCTTTGTGCAAATATAGATTCAGGTTCTTTTATTTCGTATTCATCACCCAGAAGATTAGTTGTAAAATGCGAACTAATGGATTTTATTGAAAGCAGTTATTGTTAAAAGTGAGGAACAACCACTATAGTTATAGTTTTTGTAATAGGTTTTTTAATCCTACACTTATCAGTTAACCAAGAATAAATGGGGTCAGTCAAATGAACCAATTCCATATTGGAGAAGGAATGTTGATTATAATTCCGAATTTACTATGTCCATCTACATGAAATATGGCAAGCTTTTAGTCAAATGTATGAGTATGTTTTACTCAAAAAAAGCAAATGTGTTACAAACGTACTTGTACCCAAGATACCTCTATGTGTGAATTGCTGACGTCAGTCTGACCCAAACTCTAGCAAGTTGATGTTCACATGAAGAATAAAATACTTTTGTCCACTGTACAGTTTCCAAATTTCATATGCATAATCTCTAGAACCACAGAAATTCATATTTGTGTTTTTTTTTAGTATCCCTTTATATTGTGTTGGGTATTTCTTCTCCTTCACCATGCAGTGTCATTAAATCAACAGTGTAGGGTAATATGAAGTGTTGGTAACTGACTTCTAATACATAATACAGTGTTTAATGTCTTTTTGTATAAGGTCATGGCATGTGCACTTTGACTCCCACCCATACATGTATGGTTACCAAACATCTTTTTATACACACACTTGGCTTTTTTTTTGTACTAGATTTAAGTATTATGAAAATGGGACCTACAAAGAATAATTGATAGTTTGTAAGATATTAAGTTTGTTTTCCAACTTTTTGATATTATTGTTATAATCTAATTATCTTGTTATTGTACTTATTTGAAAGTAAGTTTTAAGTATGAAATTATTGAATCAGTTTGTTTTGTTTTAAATAACATTATGATAATGAAGGAAAATCGACTGCTGTCAGAATCAATGATTTACTTAGTTATAAACATTTATTGCCTTCTCATTTATCTACTTCAAGATCCAATCTTGAAAAGATGTTAATTCTTTGTGGAAGCCAGATTATTTCTGATGAAATGAACGATAACTTAGTTGAAGCCCAGAAAAAATCTCTGCATGATGTTACCCAGGAGTTGGTGCGACAAGTGACCTCACCCAACACTTTTGTTCGAGAACAAGTAAGGATGATCAAACTTTCACTTTAATATTGCTGCTTAAGATTTATTTTAATTTGTTGCTTAATACCATAATTTTCAATTAACATTTTTGTTGAAAAAACCATATGACCATCTGGTAATTATTTATTTAATGGATAATCAGTGTATCAGACTTTTTTGCAAAATTTTTAAGAACTGGATTTTTACTATATTGAAATATATAGCATTGCTAAACAATTAAAGATAGGAACATGGCACTTGTGTGTAAGTATTTGTTAAAAACTCAGTTAAGAAAGCATTTAAAAGTTCACAATACTTTAAATTTGTTAAAAGCATCTGGCCTTAGTAAAAATTTACATGTTTTGGTGGGTCAGATATCTCCCATCATCAGTAAGGAAAACAACACTGATATTTAAATCTTGCTATTTTGCATAATTCAAATGCATTGACCAATCATTTGACATACAAATGATTGTGTCACTCCTAAAAAAAAAGTCAGCTTTATCACATATATATGCAGAGCCTTAAATATGTGTTTATGCAAAAATTAGTATGAGAATTGAATTTTAAAGACATTGCTCTCAACAGAGGACTTAACCCTTTTACAATGGAAGCCCCCTTTAAACAATTTTTGTGCAAGTCACTGTGTTACATTCAAAAGTTAATTAAACACCTTTAATATCAATGAATGAGAATGAATTTGATATCATAATGTATGTTATGATTCGATGTTTTTATTTTATCCAAGTTTTAAGTCCCTTATTACAAAATATACCTTTAAAAAACTACTTAAAACTTCAGAGGTATTGTCTAGTGACCAACGAACTACGAAAAATCTTTCCTTTGGCTCTCTGTATCTTCAATAATACAATCATAATAGAGTAGAGATACATTTATCCACTAAGATGCTTACATGACCTTTTGATCATTCCTTTTAAAGTGCTCTGAATGAATACAGTTAAAACAAGTAATAAAATGCCCACCTTCGATAAACTTGTTTGAGCTTTATCCCTTTTATGTAGATGTTACCTACACATTTGTATATAACAGTTGGAAAGAGTTTATTTTAGAGTATAAACTAGCAATGGTTATTTTGAAATTGATGCTAAGTCTTCGTCACAGAGTATATGAAATTGACTATAGTATTGTTGGCTGCTTGATTGACTATAGCACTTGGAGTTGTTTCTTACCTAAATATGTTATAGTTAGAGATACAGTTTGAATTGTATTTAAGTCTTACTACTATGTTTTATTTAATTATGTATTATTTATGTTTTAAAATGCATAATTAAAAGATTTAAACATTTTTAAAACATACATCAGACTTCGCGTCCATTCTTATGGCTTATGATATTACACGCTAAACATAACATTTTGGTGAAGGAAACTGTAATGTGCCTCATGGGTACTTCTTACTTGTATCAAGGTGAATAATAAGTTGTAAAGGACAAGAAAGGAAAAGAAAACATTAAAAATGAACTATATGTGAAAAGGAAAAGAAATTAAATTATGAATTTAACAAAAAAAAAAACTAAAGATATTCTACAAAAAAATTAAAAGGTATGAATTTTTTCTATTTTGTAATTTTAACTATCTCATTGCATTGTATGTTGATGATAATAGCTAGAGTTGGTGATGTGGTAGAGAAAATGAAAAACTAAAATAGAAAGATAGCATATTTTCAGTAAAAATACTTAAGTATAAAACCATCATTTGTGTACAAGATACTTATGATCTGTAATGAAATCTTACCAGTTTTTGAGAGAATACGTTAAGAAATCTCAGAGTTACCACATGTATTGTTATACAAGTGAAATTTGTGATTCAATTTCTGCAAATTGCATGAGCCTGCTGCAAAAGTTTTAACAGGAACGTTATTGATAGAATCTATATAAATATAATAGTACTGTCTGTTGTATGTCCAAGTAACTACTTTGCAAGAACTGGATGGATTGTCACATGCGAGGGTACATACAAATTTTCAGTTTTGCATTTTGAGGTTTTTATGGGTGGTTTTGCATTTTTTTAAATTACCTCACCTCCTTTGGATGGAGGTTCATTGGGTCCATGGGGAGAAAAATACAAATTTTCAATTTTACACCTTGTGTTTTGTGGTTTTTATGGGCATTTTTGCATTATTTACCTTTACCTCACCTTCTGGTGATGAATCTTCACCAAATTTGACATGAAGTTTTGTTGGATCCATGGGGGAGATGCATACAAATTTTCAGTTTTTGTGGTTTTTATAGCCGTTTTTGTCTTTTTTACCACTACACTGCACCCTTTTGATGTATCTTCACCAAATTTGGCATGAAGGTTTGTTGGGTCCATGCAGAGATATATGCAAATTTGCAGTTTCACATTTTGTTTTGCAGTTTTTATTAATGTTTTGCATTTTTTATAATTACATATATGGGAAGCATGTTTTCTTGTCCTAAGATAACCTTTCATTAATCATGAAGTTACCTAACTTTCTTTCAGGGGATGGGTACTCCAGCTAGTTTATAATAAGTTTTGCAACAGATTTAAAATTCATAGTGCACTAGGCTCACTAGGTTGATAGTAAGAATATTTGTGTGCCATACATTTAAATTATTTCTTCATATATTGGTGATGTGTTTAAGAAATATATTAACTGATGGGTAATGTTTTCATCTCGGGTTAAACTTAATCACTTTATGTCCACTATTGAAGATAAAATTACATTAATAGATAAGTGTGGTCTAACTTATATTGGCCACAGAAGTAGAAATTAAAATTTAAACTTAACATAACTGAGCTACTGGAAAACAAAAAAGGAATGAATCAGCTTTAACAGAACATATAGTTAAGAATCCTGTTGTTTGGAATAATATCAAATTGATTGAATATACTAATAACAAATATAACCTAAATATTTTAGAATCATTAGAAATTGAGTTTAAATTGAGATGTGGGTCCAGGAGTTGTAGAATTTCTTTCATGCGAGTGCTTCTTTGAAGAGAGGTGAAAGGTGGCAGCACAATGTATGTCAAATGATTGGTCAATGTGTTTGCATTATACAAAAATAGTAAGATTTAAATATATGTTTTCCCAATGCTCTTTTCCTCTCCTGATGACCAAAACAGGTAAATTTTTAGATTATTGTATACTTTTAAAACATTGTTTTAACCGATTTTTTAATAAATTGCTAAACAAATATTACTAATAATATTGCTTGTCAAAACTAATATTTTAAACTAATGCAAAATAGATTTCTATTGCAGTTCTTATGATTTGAATTGCAAGCACATTCTGAACACCCATATTTTTAAGCTAAAAAGTGTCACATTTCAACACTTCTTAACAGTTTATAAAAAGTTGATACAGAAAGGTAGAAATGATTAATATTTATCTTGATTTTATTATATTTTTTAATAAATGATGCTTGGACTGTGAATCTAAGGGTTCATAGTTCATGTCCCATTGCCAAATCAATTCATTCTGCACTTTAAGGCAGTAGGTACTTTTCACTTGCTGCCTCTCCTTTAGTCTATCAGTTCAAAATTAATAATGGCTATGCACAGATAGTCCTTCTGTAGTTTTTGCATGAAAATTCTAGACAAACAATCACTTATTAAAGGCAATTTGCCATCGCTGTTTAAGTGTAGATAACTGAATTGTTTTTGCCTTTGTTTTGTATGATATTTTATTTCATGTACAATGTTTCTTAGGCAATGCATTCACTGGAAGTCTTAGCTCAAGTATCCAGTAAGAATGTTACAGAAATTATGGAACCCCACAAAGAGGTGTTAGCTGATATTATTCCTCCCAAAAAGCATCTACTGCGGCACCAACCAGCTAATGCTCAGATTGGCCTTATGGATGGCAATACATTTTGTACTACTCTCCAGCCAAGGCTTTTTACTATAGGCAAGTTTGAACACTCAAATTTGTACCTATTTAAGATTTATTTTTTAAACTAATGTGATATTAGGTTTTAATGTGTACCATGTAATTGTTGTTACCCTGAATTTTATACATATGAAAAACTATGCATTTCCTTTTAAGTAGTCATCTTAATATATACTATAGTTTCTTGGTTACACGGTAGTTGCAAGGTAGGCCAAGCTGACCAAGTCTGCACTGAGAGAGTTTTAATACAAGTAGGCAAAAAACTTTCAAGGAGAAATTTATAGAAATGCAAAACACATTAACCCTCTCCAGATGGATCATGTGTTATAATTTTTTGTGATTCTAGAATGAAAGAGGCATAATTTATATTTATTTCCTAATTTTTTACGGTGGTTACAAGATCGGTCAAATCTATTGAACCCGTACAGAAATGCGTTAGTGAAAATAACAGATAAAATATAAAGTTTCTTTCCTAAAAAACATTTGATAATTATCTGGAGATTATGAAGATTTCACATGTGAAATTTGAAAATTTTCTAGTGCATAAAAGTATTTTTAATCTTAAAATGAAATTTACTTTTGCATTTTGGATAGGCAACATGTGAAAAGAAAAAAGGGCATAAGAAAAAAATTAGATATTTTACGTATGAGAGCATTGTAATGTTTACTGCTAATGTGCCAAATTTCATTAACATATGCTTACTAATTTAAAAGTTATAGCATTAAAAGTATAACAAGCACAAAATGGTTATGAGGTTGGTCCCAGGGACCGAGCCCATGCTAATAGAGTTAAGACGTTATAGTAAGATGTTAGGATTATGACCAAAAAAAAATACTTTTAACAATGAAGATACTAAACTGATGATTCATGCATTCTAATCATTTTATGATTTAGTTTAGGATTTGCATGTTGAAGAACATTAAAAAGTTGCAGTTGTTCATCATTACTCGAGTTTGTAAAAAACTGAGAGAGTAGTTTTAAACTTAAATCGACCTCCTTAATTTTGTTGTACTGAAAATTTTTCTAAGTCTTTCACTTTCAGCAACAAAAACATCCAGTGTTCTCCTAGTGTGCATATTAGTTGGAAACTACAAATGATGCATTGGACCCCCCCCCCCTATCTAATTTTAGAAAAACTTCCAATTTTATTTTCCCCTAAGCATTATAATAAACTATGTAACCACTATTGTTAAAATTCTTGAAAACAGTATGTTTTTGTTTTCAGTATTGGTACCTTTATATATATTTTTATTGCACTTTTAATGTTTAGTAGGTTAAGAAAAAAAAAATAGAAACTCAATTTCCTCTCCTTTGTTACAAGTGAGTTTTTATTTCACCTGTCCAATGGATGGGTACTCCAGCTAGTACATAATAGATGCAATGTTTTTCTGAGCAGTTGCTTTTGTACTCGATGCATGTTAAACACGTGTTTACTCGAAAATCTCAGGCATAAAACCACCTTGCTCAGTAAATAATTACTCTAAAAGACACGAGGCTTTATTTAAAGCGATATTTTAGTTGTATTTGTTTTATTTGAAAAGGCTGCTTTTCTACTGGTAAAATTTTATACACACTTACTGGTGGTTGTGTCTTACTCTTGACTTGTATTTGTCCATTGCTTTGCATTAAAAATTCAAACATACACGATAATTAAAAATTGAGAATTTAATATCTACAAATAGAGATTACAAAAGAAGTAAGTAAACAAGGCTGGAGGTCTACTGCTGACAGTTTGCTCAAACTACAAGTCCATATTATGACTCCACTATAAAATTATTGCAAGTGTTATCTACTGTAATGTGGGATTGCACAGGAATTTTGGAAAAAACTGAGAGAATAGTTTTAAACTAAATTTGACCTCCTTAATTTTGTTGTGCTGCAAAATTTTCTAAGTCCTTCACTTTCCGCAATAAAAAAATCCAGTGTTTTCCTAGTGTACACATTAGTTGGAAACTACAACTCGTGCATTTGCTGGTGCATTAATTGGAAACTGCTACGTAAAAGGTTCCCAATTTTGCTGTTGCATATTGTTTCTCAAGTTGCTATTGTTCATCATTACTCGAGTTTGCTGTCTTTACATGGATTTCTGTGACTGTATTTCAGCAAGTTTTTAACAGTGGACAATTACCATAATAGATTTTCCTACTCAAACGACGGTGGTGATTCTTTCTACTGTTTCTTATACTTAGCTGAAATTGTGAGTGTGTATTCATTATTTATTACTGCTGCATATAGCACTATTTCATATAGCTATTTCTATTTCTAAATACTTGATATTAAGGTAGCAGTTGTAAATCAGAATTTAATTAAATAGATTCTTATAAATTAAGAAATTAAAACTTATATAATATTTAAATATGAATTATAAACCATATTCTGATCCCAAGTTTATTGACATACATTCATAATAAAGTAGTTTAATTAAGTGTTGAATGTAATTCTGTAAAATTCTGTGACATGTACACTTTTATCTAGAAGGTTAATGGCTTAGGAATGAAAATACTTAAAATATTACACCAAACTGGTCATTTCTGTCTTTATAGGTAGAGGCTTAAAACCTTTACTCAATAATGTCTGAACTATTCTTATGAATTTAAATTGGGATGAATCAAAGAGCCTTATGAATTGATGACTTGGAAAATAAATGTTTTTTAATACTCACATACTTTGACACCATTATATTTAATAAAACATTAAAGAATTTTTTTTTCAAGCAAGTTCTGATTCTAATAAAGGAAAAAATACTAAAATGTTCTTATCCAACCATAATTTTGGTTAGACTGATTTTTGGGAAATACCACCCTTTAAAGTAACTTCCCTCAATTTTTATAATAGTAATCTGATCAAACCTTATTTCAAATGTTTTTGGAAATTCAAGGATAAAACTAGTACATAGTCACTTGATCTCCACATAAACTAGAGTTTAGTGAATTTAATATGTAGAAGGACAAATGTAGTGTTTTGTTACAGGTGAAATAAAAGAGATAAGACATGGTGTTGAAGTCAAAATAAATTTAAAATGATCATTTAAGCTGATCTTCAAGTAGTGAGACTGTTTCAAGTATAAGTTAGATGGAAGAAAATATGTAATTGAACTGTGTTCAAATAATAATAATAATAAGGAGTAAAATAAACTTTTATGTGTAAGTAAGTCCAACAGAAACAAAGTATGCATGAACATCAGGTATAGGAGTGCCTCAAAGGTTGGATCGAATTTGGTGTAAAAGATCAGAAATTGTATCCACAATACATATTTTTTCTGTAGCTGCCTTGTTAGGAAATGAGAACCTGAATTTGTAAATATCTTCATGTGGCAATTTCAAAGTATCCTCCATACACAAGGTCAAACAGAATATAATACAACTATCCTATGAAACGATTGGTCAAGCTACAGAAAGTAACATGTTGGAGTAAATGTAACTCATGACCTCAACCATATTTGGAATGTTACAAATCAGAACTTCGAAAATTCAAAAAAATTTTTAGTTATGAAATATATACTATATGATACTACAGGTTTGTCTTATCAGTATAATTTTTTGATTATCTTTTCTCAGAGCACAAAGAGTTGTTTTGAGATTGGCATTTTTTACAGAACCTTGCTTTTAGTTCTGTCACTATATTATAAGAAAAATGAGGAAAACAGGCTTGGTTTGTACTTTGTTAATATAGTCTACTTCTCCATGTGTAAATGATCATTATGTTAATATGGGCAATATTCTTAGCAAACAATTTATTATACAAAATAAGGAATTTTCTCACTATAAACTTTTGTGAATACTTGTTCTTTCTGCTATAGATCTTTTTGTATTTCAGGAATGAACTGTTCATTGTTTCCTGTTTTGTGAGTGTGCTGTTTATTAAATGATTAGAAAAGTAGAAATATGGTGTCTGCTAATTAAATTCAAGTTTTTAAACAAAGTTCTGTACTTTTACCTCATCACAAGTTTTTGTTAATTTTATATTATGTTAAATGAAATAATGTTTTTTTTTTCTTGTAGATCTCAGTATTCCAGAGCACAAGATTTTTTTTACGGAACTACTAAATCTTTGTGAAGCAGATGACACTCTGCTTTTAAAATTGCCCTGCTACAAATCTATCACTAATTTAGTGCCACTTCGTAAATCAGCATTGAAAGCTTTGGCTGCATGTCATTATATTACTCAATGTCGAGAGAAAATATTTGATGTTCTGTACAAAGCTCTTAATTCCACAAACTATGAACTTCGGGAGGCTGCTTTTCAGTGTACCAGAAAGTTTATTGGAGGATTTAGTATTGATATGGAAAAGGTGGGTTAATTTGGTGTGAATTTCACAAGTTTGTTATGATCTTATATTTTATTATCGTGTAAGATTTATCCTTATGTGTGTCATGTTTCAATACATCACTCCAATGTGTATGTTATTTAATAACAAATTACATACAGGCTTGATTGACTTGACTGACCTCATAACCACAAAGTGATCATTTCAGTTTCCATACTATATCTTTATACGACACATGTATCTTCACTACATTTGGCAAGCTTTCAGTAAACATTACAAGTTTTTTGTACACAGGAAATCAGATTTTTCAATTATGTATTTTTACTAAAGATTTATCCATGAATATATGGAGTCAGAGTGTTGACTGCTTTGAGTGCAAAGTGATTTTTGTGTTAATATTAAAAATACATTCTTCATCTGAAAATATTCAAATTTTATTTGCATAACCTCTAAAACCTCATAAATGAATATCAAACTTTTTTTCAGTGAAATTACATTCCATCTGCTATTTTCTCTACCTTAACCCTATATGGACTTGGTTGATCTGACCAACCTTGAAACCACCATAAAAAGCTACAAAATAATTCAAAAAAATATGTAGCTCATATTACCATATTAAATGATGTAACATGAGCTGCTTGTGAGCATACCCATGAAGAATTTTTATTATTATTATTTTTTCACTATTTTATCTAGCCTAGTCTTCTCTAACCTAATAAGTTTCTTATTTTTTACATTGTAGTTACTTTTATAACAAGAAATAAAGAATATACATTTATAACAAGAAATATAGTATTTGCCTTTTCCCTCTTGTTTTTTTGGTGTTGGTTGCCTATGAAATGTAAGCCTACTTTTTATAGTAATGCTACTAGTACTCTAAATAATGTTGAGTTACTTAAATAATGCAACTAAGAATACAGCCAAATAACATGCACAAAGCAAACAATGTTGTATAACTATCATAATGTAACTGACTTTCTAATTATGGCATAAGAGCCTTAAAATAATTATTTAAGCCTCTCAATCTAAATACCACAATAAAAACTGAAGATGAGATAGACAATACTCTGTATTGAAAACTGTAATATAATATGTTATTTGATAGATTAAAACTGTCTGTCTATTGATTATAAATAATATGGTATAAAATATTAAGAGAGAACTATTAGCAATTTGTGAAAGAGAAGATCTAACAGGTGGGTATGGCAAGTGGGTCTGATTTTCTAGTTTATGACCCCGTAGAAGCCATAAAAATTAGACTTTACCTTAGTAATATCTTTATTATAATGAGTAAATTACCTTAAGTTCAATATTTGAGAGTAGGGTGATAAATAAATTAGAGAAGGAAGAAGACATACTAAAGGAGATTGAGGATTTATTTAAATATTTCCTTATAAACATTAAGAACTGAAAACTTTTATGATGTTAAAATTTATTTATTTACTATGTTATAATGCCAAATTCATTCATATATATATTGATAATGAAGTAGTTTAATTAAATTTTGATTGTAACTCTTTAAAAGGTTGTGACTTGTACATATTAAAAATAACATCAGAAGATTCCCACATCTGTAGAAGGTTAGGTAATTGAGCCAAAACCTTGTGCATTAAAAAAACTATAAAAAAATGTGGTGATAGTCCAAATAAATTACTTAATACAAATCAGAAGATTTTTTACAGAATACTGAAATGGATGTTCAACTTCAAGAAAATATATAGTCGTGTTCAGGAACTTGTTTTGTCTAGTTGCTCAAAGCATGTGAAATTTGTCTGCAGGAAAGCAAAAAAAAACAAGTTCATTTGTACCTGAGTAGTGCTCTATGAAACTGTCGACATGCTGGCTATGCTACTTTTGCTGAATGTGAAACATGGTAGCAACATATGGTGTATATAAAAAATATGCATGCAAGAATGTTTAGTTTATCATGGTTTGACACAAGTATACCAAAGTACAAACTATATTCATATTATAAGGTATATACTATATGTAATATATATAGCTTACTCCTATATGTTTGATTGAGGATATGTTCTTTTATTCCTAACACAGATTTAATTACGGATTAAGATAAAGACTATTTAATGTTTAACTGTTCTTCAAAAGCATTTTTATTATCACTCATGAAATATTTCTCATTGGAAGAATCTTTCCTTACCAGAATATACACTCTTTTTTAAACAACTATTGAAGTAGGAACTGACAGATAACATTTACCTCTAAGAAATTCTAGAAGTCATGATGAATATGTCAAGACTAGTCTCTAGAAAGCAGTATATGTATGTTATACATACATACATACATACATACATACATACATGAATATATAACACATCTGTAATACCATACAAGCCTTAAACAAAAATGTTGCACAACAAAACAAAGTCATCAGGGCATAGGTTAAAATGTGTGGTATATGTCCTAGTTTTTGGAGGTGACTGTGGATACGCCATCTATCAGTATTAACCTCTGTTCACAAAGCCTCACATGTAAAGAAAAAGTAATAAGAGAGTAAAATAACAACATAAAAATGAAAAATGATGAGAGATCAAAATGTGGGTGCTCAAGCCCACAACATCCCATATCTACTGTTACGACAGCGGAAGTTATGTTACGCTGCTAGCGCATACGTGACTCAGTTTCTTGAATTGTCAGGGAAGTTCGAGTGTGATCGAGATGCTACTTTGTTAGTATATAAGCCTGGCAGAGAAGAGCCAGGGGGATGGATGGTTAATCGAACAGTACTCACTTTGAGTTTCGGTAATTTACAATTCTGTTTCAAGCTAGTGTGTGTTTTGCATTCACAGAGAGAAATGTCATCGAGACTGTGAATCACTGTGATTTATAGCGTGTATTATAAAAGTGATGAGAAACATACTGACTGTGGAATTACTGTGTACTAAAAGTTTGTATCGAGAAAGAATAAACTGGTTTAATCAAGAAAGGACTTGTATCGCTGAAGTTCCTCGGAAAGAATTTTTACTGGAAATTAAACAAGCAGATACGTAACACCACTATATCACCCATCACTGTATGCAGACATTTTAGGAAGTTGACTGCTCTCAGAAGAAAAGAAATGAAAGATAAATAAGAAAAAGTTCTGAAATTGGGGGGTGGTGAGTAAGAAAACCTTACTTCCTGAACTTGACATTCCTTCTAGCCCCAATTATGATAGTAAAAGGTAATATTAGTAACACAGCAGAAAAATGTATACTAGAATAAGATACCAACCAAATTGTCTAAACTATTATGATGCCCATCCTCCACCCATAAAGTTTACTGCAACTAATAATTTTTAAATATTCTTCTACCTTTTATATGAGCTTGTGTATTCATGCATATTAATAATGTTAATACATACATGAAAATAATGCCAAGAGTTAATATTGAAAAAATAATATAAATTTTTTTTCCACACATTTATGCATAATATATTTAATTCTTACTTCTTGATATTCATGTAATATATTTATTATATTTGTTACAAAGTATCTTAATAAACTGATAGATGGTGTATCCCCACTACTATGTGGGTCCTACTTCCACAGTCACCTCCAAAAACCAGAACACATCTTATACCCCACATTATAGCCTGTACCCTGGTGACTTTGTTTTGTATTATAAATTGTTTTTTTGTTTTTTTTATTATAGGTTTGGTTTTGCTGTTTGTAAAGTAGTCTTTCATTTTTGATGTAAATATTAACTGCTTAGATAATGTTTATTTGTACACCTACTAAACTTATATGCATATTTATTCACTTTCTTCAATTGTAATTACAAATATTGTTACTGTTTTATTTCTTTCCATCAATATTGTTAATTGGTTGTAGCATAAAATCAAAACAAAAAAGTGTGACTGTTAATGATATAAAAGTCATTCATTTGTAACATATCAAGAAATAATAGTGTTAAGGTTGTGTCTGGATAATCTTTTTCTTGTCACTAAAACTTTTCCTTTTCTTGCTTTGCAATTCTTCCCTGTTGCTTTAATTGGCTGCAGGATCCATTAAACCTTAATAACAATCTAGACACAAGCACTAGCAAATAAAGAACTTTAATTTCATTTTAAATGTGTGAGCATTAAGTCTTGTACAATAATATGCTAAGTTATGTTAGTCAGTTTAATTTTCTACTATATTTGAATAGCCAACCATAACTTTCAGTTGTAATTATTAATACTTAACATAATTTGCTCATTCATTGAATATTATACTTTGTAATTCCCAGAAACTTTAACTTCCTAGACATTACAGTTATTTGAATTTTTAATTATTATGTATACTTTTAGCTTTCAAACTATGCTGAATAAATGAGTTATATGTCAGAGGTATCTCTTTTATTGCAATTAGAAGTAGGTAGGATTTGTGAATTTATTTATAAACATCTTTTTCATAACTTAAACGAATGCAAAAGTTCAAACACACAGTTGACAAATATATGTTGCTGGGTTTGTAGCATAAGCCACCATACACAGCTGAACTTGGACAAGTGTATTCCAATATGAATACTTACCCCTTCTCACAGTTACAGCTATTCTTCATTTGACTGTTCTCTAGTGTGGAAATTTTCACTCATCTCTAGCCGTGCAACTCCCACCTAATTCCACGTGGTTCAGCTGCATTTAAGCATGAAAATTAGTATGCAACAGTCCTTCACCAAAAAGAGTATGACAAACCCTCCTATCATAGCTGACTCCCTCTATGCAGTTGAACCCAGTCTTCACTTCTCAATTTGGCACAACAGTGTTAGGATCTAGTGCTTGATTTCAAACATTTTTTCTCCTTCTTTAGTGCAGTTGAAAGCATTCATTTACTGATTTTCACATTCATATATTGTTTATAATCTACTATCAAGTTGGATTTCTTTATTTGAATGTGAATTCTGTTTCTCACTCAACTACTGATAATTAGTCAATATTTATGAATTCACAATTTAATATTACGACTACAATGGCTACAGACAGTACCAGTGTTCAACAGCTCTTGACAATGGCTGCAGGTTCGGCATTCTCAGTGAAGGAAGTGCCAGTTGTAATTCGTTGGGAGATGGCTTCTTTCATGTGGGATGAGGAATCTTCCAATCTACAAGCAATTCCACCATTACCTTAGGAATTAGATTGGGACGATGCAGACTGGGACAGCATTTGATCTCTCCCTTTCCTTATTAACTGCAGCACCTGGTTCTGAGTTTTGCTTCCCCCTTTGCCTGATATTGGGGCCCATGCCAAACATTTTGCAGATTAATTATGTGTGGGGGTTATTGTGCCATGCCCCCCATGTATTGCAGAAACTCGCACTTGCATATCATTAATTAGCATACCCTTAGGTCATTCAAATTTTGTCAGAAGGAGCCTTCTTCCTATTCCTCACAACCTTATCCCCTGTCCCATTTCCTTTCCCCCCTCAAGATCTTATTTCATGCCAGCATCTCACAGAAGTGGTTCAATACCTTCCCATCAAGGGTGCCATTGCACTTCCATTGAAGACCAGGCATTGTTGTCCTGTTTTCAATCTCTACCATCTAAATCACTTCCTCGACATGCCTTGATTCATCATTGAATCCTACATGCACATGCATTTATTGCAGTGGGTACTATCCATGGCACCTCATCAGGGACCTCTGGATTTACAGATATCCCTTCCTGCTTCCCTTCAGTCTGACTTCCTCTGATGGTTAGACAGTGGAGGTACCTATTCCTCCTCTTCTTCCAGATATCCACGTCTTCACAGATGCCTTGTTTGAGGATGGGGTGCATGTTGCAATACACAGGAGATCTCTGGCTGTTGGTGTCAGGAGAAGTTAGGTTTTAACATCAACTATTTGGAACTCTTTGCTGTTCGTTGAGTTATGGTTCATTTTCTGTCATCTCTGTAGGGCATGACAGTTATGATTCATTCTGACAAGTTAACACCAGTTTAGGGGGGAAACGATCCTGTTCCTTATGGTCCTTGATCTCCTCCTCTGGGCTTACAGCCACCAAATTAATTTCCTGACTTATCACATACCGGTGCCCTCAATCTTGTTGCAGATCAGCATATTGTGCCAACAGTTAAACATTGATTTTTTGTGTCTCAATTTGTATGTTGAATGCAGTACTGGTTCAAATTAGGTGTTTGTGATGTCAAAATACTAAGTCTATAGTTTCGTACAAATTAGGAACTCAAATTACAGATATTGATGAGCTAGAATATAGAATAAGAACCTCATATCTTTTCTATTAGCTGAGATATCACTCATGTACTGAATCAAACATAGTGGCCCCGCTCACTTCTTTACAAGTTTGGAGATGGCCCCCTATATACACTTACTTCAATATATAACATGTGAATAACCAATCAAAAGCTCAAAATGTCCCCCTAGTGGCTTTCACAGCCATTTTCATGTCTTAGGATGCCATCTTGTTTCTTCAAACCAATATTTCAAGGAGGTAAGTTGTATCTTTAGTCTGCTCAAAATTTCATATTTTTTTAGACCCAAATACAGCTCAGTTAATAAGCTTGATAAATTATAATGGAATTCTATGGTTTAGATATAGTAATTTATGATTTTTTGGTTATTCAACTGCATGTATACAACCTAAAAGAAATTGTTATGTTTCATATCTCCACGTACAAAACTTTAAAATGCTTAGCAACCTACGTCAAGCAGCAACTGAGTACAAAGGTCATAACTAGAAGAGATAATTGTTTACTTTACTTCTTTATTTACTGTTCTATGATTTAAGAAAAAAGAGTTTAAGAACTTATTTCAAAATATAATAATCTATATGCATGTATAATGTATAATAATGGAAATAGGACTTTATTTTACAAATTACTAGCCTACTAAAACACAGCCAAGTCAGGTCATTTTGTAAAGACTAAAGGTCAGTTTTATATTATTGATATGGTAACATGAGGGCACGTGTGCTGCACCATTTTAACTTCTGTATTGTTAGCCAGGCACAGTTGAAAGTCAATACAATAAAAATAATAAATATATATATATATATATATGTATAATGTTATGAAATTTAAGCTATTTAGTTTTAACATTTATATTTTTGTGTTATAATTTGTTGTCAATCTAGAACAAAAGAGGCATAATTTATATTTATTTCCTTAATGGACATTCTTTGCAAAAAGAAAAAAAAAGTATTTATTGATAAGCTCTGAATTGTGCCTGTTTAGATATTTGTGACTTGCATCATATAACAAATCAATGTTAGAGCACTTCTTACTAAAAGCATTAAAAGGAACAAGTTATATGATCAGATCATATGTCAAGTTTCAAAATGAAATAGTAGAGACAGTTTTAAGGTATAAAATTGACAAGTTCTATAAGGGAAATCCTAGAGACTAAATAGTTGTTTGAGTTTAAGCTTTATTTTAAAATGTTTTGAACCTAAACTCATAAAGTTGAATGAAAACGTTTTTGAAATTTTGAGCTGAAGACATTTTTGCAGATCTTCAGTATTTTATCTTGCATTCATTGTCAGTACAACAGAAATTATCAGAGAAGCTTTGAAACTATATGCAGAAGTAATGACATTTGTCAATCTACAGTTTAGCAGGGCAGAGCTTTGTGTCACTGGTCGATAAAGAGAAAAACTTTGTTTCAAAATCTGCCTTTTTTACTGTGAAGTCATAAGATTTTTATTACATTTCAAATTGATGTCTGTAGAATGTTGTTCATAATTAGGGAATTTTATGCTATTTATTTGACCCAGGTCATGTTTTACTATATTGGTAATAATCAATAACTGGAAATACTTTTCAAGGATGTAAGCAGTTTATTTGATCATTTAAATTTAGTCTGATACGGAATTAATTTAAGACAAATAATGCATTTAATAAAAAAAATATATACTTTTGTTGTCATTTTAGGCCATTATAAGATTATAAATATACTTTTACTGTTATAATTGTAAAGTTGGTTACATATATTTCTTCAGGTGCATACAGCTATTCGTCCTCTGTTGAAGATGCTTGGTGATTACCGGTCTGTGAATCTAAGTGTTATCCAACGACTTAGTTATCTCACTCAGCTGTTTCCTAATACTTTTAATGAAAAGCTCTGTGAGCAGCTTCTTCCACATTTTCGTAAGTGGTTGGATGTGGTTGTCAGTGCAGCTAGGTCAGGACAAAGGGATAGATCTAACAATGAAATCAAACTCTGTGTGGCCATAGCAAATATTTTTCATCAGGTAAGTATGAACATACAATAAATATCCTTGTGAAAAAGATATTATCAGTATTATTCTTAAAGTGTAAATAAATATGCTCACCAGATAATATTTTTAGTCCCTTTTTTCCAAAACATTAACTCCTCCAAGTGGTTTCTTCAAATTATACTTACCATATTATGATATTCAGTTCAGGATGTGTTTCAACAACAGATAGTATTGATGTGATAAAACCACAAATATGTATATTTTCAGATCCCAGCAGCAAGCAGTAAGTTTATTGAACCTTTACTAACACTAGTCTTGAAAACTGAAAAGGTTCTACTTTTGGAAGCAGGAAGTCCACTTCGTAAACCTCTTCTCAGCTTCCTACTTCGCTACCCTTTACTCACTACTGATTTATTGCTGAATGAAACTTACTTGCAGGAAGAGCAAGTGCGACGATTTTTAGAGGTAAAGGTGCATTTGTTCTTGAAGGAAAAATTGGGTCAAATTTTCTAAATATTTCATATGAAGTTCAATAGTTTTGTAATTATGCTTGTCAGAAATGAAGTAAGAAGTATTTTGAAATGTAAATTCAAGTGAGTGATGCTTTTTAAACAGTATGCAAAGGTAAACAGAGAAAATTCAACAACATTTATTCAGGATGCAACTAAACATCATAGGTTATTTAATGCTTGAAGGTATTAAATTTCTTACTAGTTCTCTTTATATTTGATTTTAGGACTCAAAATTTATGAGCTTATATAAAGTTAAATGTTATCTCTTTATGATTGAAGTTTATAAACAATGATTTTTTTAATAATCTGTATTAATATGTGCATTTTAGTATCTTCTGAAAGGGAAGGAAGGAAAACCATTCCGTGATGTCCTACAGCAAAATCCATCTAAATTAGTTAATATGTTACACAGTATTTTCCAAAATAATGTGCAATCAGGAATAATGTCTTCACCAGCAATGTCTAGTATCCCTTCTCCAAGCAATACATCACCTCTAATCTCTCAGTCTTCTGCCAAACAGGATATTCAGTATCAGATTATACTTGTGGTGAGCCTTTTGGTAAAACATGATGAACAGTGGCTTTCTGGACAACACCAGTTGGTAGCATGCATTAGAAATGTTTGGGTATCTGAAGAATTCCAAAAGCGACACATGAAGGGAGACACTGTTGATTTTACTCAATGGAAAGAACCAAAGCTGGTAGTTAAATGTTTATTAAATTTTGTGAAACATCACCCCAATGAAATTGAACTCTTGTTTCAGTTACTTAGGGCATTCATTGGGCGCTTCATTCCAGATTTTGAGTTTTTGAGAGACTTCCTAGAAAATACTGTTGCCTGTAATTACACAGTGGAGTGGAAGAGAAAAGCTTTCTTTAAATTTGTGGAAGTTTTTCATGATTCCACTTTTCCTCAGGAGCTAAAAGCCAAAGTATTGCAGTATGTTATAATTCCATCATTTGCAATAGCTTTTGAACGAGGAGAGGGAGAAAAGTTAATTGGTGGCCCACCAGCACCAGATCAGGATCTTCCTGATAATATCATTAGTGTATTCATTAACAAAATTATTGATCCAGAAAACCCATTTGGAACATCTGATGCTGTGAGAATTCTGTTGCTACAGTTTTCCTGTTTGTTAGTAGAGCAGGCTTCTCCACATATTCATGATGCTGCTAACAAGTAAGTGTTATTTTAAGTTTCAGTACATCTGTTGAAGTTTTTATGGGTAAAACAAATAATTATGTTTTTACATTTTTTTTTGCAATTTTATTTTAAAAAACACTACTCTTTACTAGGTCTATCTAGCATAATGAGGTGGATGCATTTGAAAAACAGACCAAAACCATTATGTGTTGCAGTATCAACAGTGATGCTACATCACTGAGCAACAAAATAAAAGCAAGTCAAACACAATTGTTAATAGGTAAAAACAAAAATACAATTCTTCATTTGCAGAGAGGTAGAGTCTTACCTGCAGTCTGATGATTTTTCCTCTCTTGGCTCTGAGGCTGAGTTTTGCAGGAGATCAAGGGTGGACTGGTGAGAATTTAGACTATATTTCCAGCATCTTCTTTTGCTCAGACAGCTGATCACGAGTCTCGGAGACATCCTGCCTCCTGCACCTTTTTTGCAACTAGAGTTTATAATGTTTTGAGCATTGCTCCTGTAGCTTACGAATCTTCTCCTTCTTTATTGGGGGAAAATCATTTGTATGATTACCTGTTCCTGCCACCTTTGCCAGACATTACTGTGCATGTGAGGAGATTTGCTGATCATTTGAGAGTGGATGTTGCCATGTCTTGTCCTCTTTGTTTATTAGGTAAGGATCCTTTGGCTTTTTCATCACCTGAAGAACCATTATTTAGAATCTCAAAGGTTTGATCCTCTTCTTCCTATTTGGGGCTCTAGACCAGATACCATGGTTTTTCTTAATCAATCTTATGTTTTCCAGAATTCATGTGTCACAACAGTTTTGTGTTTTTTATCATCTTTGCAACTGTTGTCTGAGGCTTATTAGATATCTTCTGCACAATTTTGGATGATTTTAGTCATTTATTCACTGCAAGTGCTTGAGAATGATTGCACCAGTGATTGAAATGTTGTACCTGTTCAAAAAACTAATCTTTCTTACTGTAAAAGCTGTAACTTGTCATAAAAAAAAGTGATTATTTTGTGCTTTGTGCTCCAAGTACAAAGGAAAAGGCTATTATGTGTTCTATTAATCTGGTAGACATTTGTCAACATTTGATACAAGACTCATGAAGTACCCTTATCAATACATTTGTGTGATACAATTTGATGAACTTTTCTTGCTGGTGAAAAGGAAGAATTATCAAAATCCATATATCTTTAGTTGTTTTTAACTAATTTTTTTTTTAGATGGCATGTGAAAGCTTAGGGATGTATGGTACAACACAATAAAATGATGGTTTTTCTAAATCATTGCTTGTATCATCATGTTGTGATTCATTTTCTAGGGATGATAGAACTCTAAGAGGATACTTGATATGTGGATTAAATTGTGATTTCAAAACATTTATATCTGTTGAAAATGCCTGTTGAGAAGAGCAAATATTTTAGAAGTATAAAAAAAGGGCTTTTAGGATCCCCGTTTTTTATATAGTATCATGAAAATAATTTTAATAAACAATTTTAATAGAAATAAATGTATTTCTTTACCTTCACTTTTTTTAATCAAAAATTCTGATACTTCAAAACATAATGGTTTTGTTGTATTATTCAAAAGTATGCACCTGACAATGCTAGGTAATCCTAGTGAAACATAGGTTGTTTTTTAAATAGAAAAAAGCTTTTGAAAACATAATTACTTTTTATAATTTTTATTAAGATTTTTACGTAACTTAATTCAACATATCTGAGGAATAAATGCAAATAAATCTTTAATATAAGTTATTTTTCTTTTTTTTAATGTACTTCCCATTTGATTTTAATTATATTTTACTTATTAAAATAACTAGAATATAATCATTAAGCCATGTTTACTGATAGAAATTTAACTTTATTAAATGCTTTTACTAATGAATCACACCAAAAATAAAAATTTGTTCAGATTTGCTTTTAAAATTTCAGCTAATTAATTGTTGTAAAAAGAAAGTATTAAAACAATATTTTGTTGTCATAAGATAGATATATTTTTGTATTATCTGAGTATTAAAGAATGAGAGGAGTGAATTAACATCTGAGAACAGTATAAGCTGTATGTATCAAAGTGCTTGCATTTTTTAAGAAATGTGTGTGTGCATATGTATATATATACACACACACACACACACATGAAAGGTGCCTGTATTGAGTGCTTGCAGTTTTTAAAAAGGTGTATGAGTATACACACACAAACATAATTGGAAGAACTTTATTGAAAGGGCATTTGATGTATGTTAGATACAACTAGAACTTGGCATGAGAATTATTTTTTCTATCATTAGAAAATATTTTATCTGCAATTATGAAAATTATATACAGTATAGATTTAAATTTTGAATAATAGAATTGTGAAATGAATTCCAACAAGTTTGAAAAGTTTTGATTAGCTTGCAATTTTTAGTTAATAAAAAATGAATTTTTAAAAACATAATTAGTTATTTTACCTATGAATAAAATGTTAATTTTTGTATTACAAGTTATTTCTTTAATTTAATTCACTATATCTAATGAATAAGTTTTATGAGCTTGGAAAAGTTTTAAAAATTTGATTATTTGTGATTCAGAATTTGCATAAGGTATTACATTAAGCTTCTGTAAACTTATCAGTGAAAGTGACTGAATTCTTTATTGCTTTGATTGAAATTGTAAACAAAATTTTTCTTCAGACGACAAGGGAATAAATTACGAAGGCTAATGACATTTGCTTGGCCTTGTCTTCTGGTTAAAAACTGTGTTGATCCTGCCACTAAGTACCATGGCCATCTACTTCTAGCTCATATCATAGCCAAGTTTGCCATTCATAAAAGAATTGTGTTGCAGGTAAAATACGCATATGTATTTTTTCTAATTTTATAATAACCTCAAATAAAAAATACATTGAGCATGATATTGGTATGTATGTGTGCAGGCATTTGAAATAACAGCTTAAACTGAAATCAATATTTTGTCACCATATTCATAATTTTTCTGTAATAAAAAATTTTTCTCGTATGCGTGGTTTAACTTGACAAATATTTGACCTGAGAGGTAAGTTTTAGTGGTTTTCAGCTTCTATAAGACATAGTTGAACAACTCTATAATAATATAGATACAAAAGTTTGTTTATCTGTTTATTTATTTTAATTTTAATACCAAGTGATCAGTGTAAATAAGATAAATACTATTACTTCCACTACTACTACTACTACTGTTATATTCTTGAGGAGTTTAGCACAGGCTCTTTTCCCTTCAAGGATCTTCTAGTAATAATGTTCAATTCAAGTAACTTTTCAGGCTTTTAAAGTGAGTACTCATATTTGTAGTAAGTAATTTATTTGGACTATCACCATGTTATTTTAGTTTTATAATGCACAAGCTTTTGACTAAATTACCTAAGCCTTCTACAGGTGTGAGACTTCTCATACCTGTAGAAGACTTAGGTAATTGAGCTGAAAGCTTCTGCATTAAAAAAACTAAAATAACATGTTGATATTCCAACTAAATTACGTAATAAAAATGTTCAATTTTTTTAGCTAGCATCTGTTCTTTCCACTTTTTCTAATTCACGTACTGTTATACTTTTGAAGGTTATAACAATATTAGTATAAACAATGAGATTTATGTTATGTATTAAATATAAAAACATTTACCAGTTGTTTAATAGGTGTATTTGTTAAAATATCTTGTTCAGCAAAGTTAAAAATAAGCAATGTGGAAGTATGCATCTACAGTAGTAACAAGCCTAGAAACCTAACATTATGAGATCTGAATTAATCTTCGTAAAAATATTGTGAATTATCTACTCCAGATTTGAATGATAAACAAATAGAAAAATTATGTGTATTAATCTCTGAGTATTATTGTGAATTACCTCTTTGAGTCTTTAGTATGGATAAAATAAATAAAATACTTTGTTATTTTAATATACCATTTTTATTTCTTATATTCCTTTTCTTTGGTATTTAGGTTTCTGAAAATATTTGTAATGTGATGACAACTAAAAATGCTAAGCCTGTTATTCAAAAGAATTTTACTTCAGTATTTTAGGCATAGACAACATTTAACAAAATATAAGCTTAATACGCCCATATACACAATAATGAATAATAATAAAGAAAAAAAGTAAAGTGATTGCTGCCAGTCTGTTTCCACCCTGTGGTTGGTGGTTCGATAATTAGGGACAAAGCCATGCTATGTGAACTATACATTGAGAAACGTGCTGCAATGGGACTCCATAATTGGAGGTAGGAGAGTGTGTGATGTGGCTAGTTCTAAGCTCCTCTGGAGTATAAATCAAATTATCTTATCCTTTATTGTTTTGCATTTGAAACCATTTATGAATGAAATGAGTGACCTAAAAATATTTAATTTTAGCAAACCATAGTATCTTTTAATATTTAATATTCATCAACACTTCAGCTTTTATTAGCTTTTGTGGTAAAATATGTCTTAACTTCATTAGGGCATTTCTTGCAAATGTTTGTGAAATGTATAAGTTCCTGCATTGCGTGCAAATGAAACTCTAGTGTTTGTCTGGTTACTTTATTGATAAGAAATACTTCTTAAAAATAATTCTTTCATTATTACCAGTTTTTACTGGATAATTTGCAATATGTTTCACAACTACTTATGGCTTTTGACTCAAAATACAAGTAGTAACTGCGTCTTTTAGATTTATAAACACTACAGCACAAAAAATTTGCAATCTTCCAGACTATATGTATTCCTGTGAACTTAGTTTTCATCACAGAAATGGTTTAGAATTTTGTCAGCTGTTCACTGGTGATTGACTGAATGCTTGTGCCATCTAGTGAGTGCAGTAAATTCCTTACAAAAGTAGTATATTTTTCCCTTACTACATAGCAACAACTGTGCACACAAATGTTTGTTGGTGATTATGAAAGTGGTCACATGAGTGCTGTTTATTGGTTCTTCCCAATGACTGTAGGCCTTACCAGTCTGTTTAAGAGCATATTTTGCACTTAAACTGTGCTTACAGAATTGAAAAATAATAATAAATGGTAATATTAGTAGTAAGTTACAAAGTTAAATCATTAGGTTTGTGAAACAAATAGATTTGTAGAGTTTGTCTGCTGCTAATGTTGATAATGAGATTTTAAGTGAATTCAATGAAAGGAACAGTCTTTACTCATATTTATTGGCTAAATGCAGTTATTGACAATGAAAGTGTTAATTGGTCTTTTTTTTTTGTCAATGGATTAAACAACAACTATCTTTTTTTTTCATAAAAAGGTTCACAAAATGTAATTCAGTAGAATGTATTAACACCTGAAAGATTATAGAGATATTTGGCTTAATAAACGTGTTTATGTAAAAGAAGATTTCTACAGCTTCTTATAAATGTTGCAAACTTTCATACAAATATTTTATTCATAAGATATGTCCATTGTTGTTGGTGGTTAGGTTTTTCACAGTCTTTTGAAGGCACATGCAGTAGAAGCTCGAACAGTTGTGAAACAAGCTTTGGAGATCCTTACCCCTGCTATGCCTGCTCGTATGGAAGATGGCAACACCATGCTGACTCATTGGACAAAGAAAATTATTGTAGAAGAAGGACATACCTTAGCTCAGCTAGTACACATGCTTCAACTACTAGTTCGGCATTATAAGGTATAGTTATACATTGAAATTGCTTGCATACTGTTGAACTCTTTGTTTTGTTCTCTTAATGTAGTAGAATTGAGTGTTACAAATTGAAAAGTTTTTGGCAACAGAGTAAAGAATACACTGTAGCTCTAAAGGTTAAAATTGTCAAACAGAGTTAATCTTCAGAATTTTTTTTAACTTAATTAAATCTTTATTACTACTAATGATTTAATACTATGTCTAGTGCTGTCAGTCCTTATTTTTGTTCAAAATGTTACGTTGTGAATTTTTTAAAACCTGTTGTTAACTAACTTGTACAAGTGTAGATTTTGTAGTAGATAAAGTATCTAATATAGGTCCTGTTCAAAACATAGCAAAGTTAGTGTAGCTTTAAACTGTGAATAAGGTTTTATTTTATACCATTTCTTTATTAGTTGAATTTACTTATTCTAAGCAACTATACATTAGAATTATAATTGTTAGAAATTCAAATTCACAACTGATTCTTTTGCAGGTCAAGATAGAGAGTAGTGAAGTGTTTGGTCCAACTTAGGACATTTTTTTTTACTTCTGTGTGATTACTAAAATTTATTTTCAGTCTTTTTGTACGTTTCGCAGATATATCTATAAACAAAGTATAATTTGATCCTTTATGTTTTCAGTTGCAAGTCATGCATCATGGTAAATTGTGGTTATCAAAATCAGAATTTTCTTCTTCAATTGTTACCTGTGAAAATTGTATAATTTTTTTTTTGTATATAGCACTAAACAACTTCAGATATCATGGGTTTGAGTAAAGTTAGAAGTATCGTTGAAACTTATTCAATGCAAGCAACTTCAAAGCAACACAAAATTAATTATTTAATTTTGTATTTTACTACTACATGTTAAAGCATACTAAATTTTGAAGGGTCAGTCAATCTCATGTTGTACTTATGTATGGAAACATTATGCTAATATAACAGTAAATTGACAATGATTGATAAGCATAATTCATTTACTTTTAATTTCATTTTGTGTATTCATAGTTTTCACTGGAGATTAGCTGTTTTGGATATTTGAATATAATAAAACTGTGTATAAATGAAAAATATTTAACTGCACTTTTTCCTCCATGTTAGTGTTTTATGTGTGTTATCTTTTGCATATTTAGGTCTAACAAACTATAAAATAAACCATATATTTATATTACAATTATTATTTGATATTAGACATTTTTCATATCAGTCATTTCTATGTTTATGAATGACCACTTGGAGGAGGATACAGAAGAATTCTATGACCATATAGAGGCACTACTGTAACTAAAAAACCCAAAGAATAAAAATTGTTTTGATGAGTAATTTAGGTGCAAAAGTTGGAAAAGGAAAAACACTGATATAGTTGGTCTGCACAGATTAGGGAAGAATATTGAAAGAGCTGCCATCTTGTCCAGTTCTGAAAAACAAAGAAATGCTAATCACCATCACTTGGTTCCAGTATCATAATCAAAGTTTGTGTCTGTACACACACAGTAGAATCCATGGGATCAAGCAAGAAATTAAACTGATTATATCATCATTTCAAAAAAGATTCAGAAATACAATAACTCAAGTAAAGACTTCTCTAGGAGCAGATGGTATTTCTCATCGCAACCCTGAAACTGAGGTTGAAGAAAATTATGGAAAACACCAAGAAGATGAACAAAATATAGGAATTTTGCTGATTGACAAGTAATGAGTTGTATTGCTGTAAGAAAATAGAAATGTTCATAAAAGAAACAAAAGAGGAAGAGAATGTTGCAACATATAGAATGGACTAAAAAAATCATTGAGTGGCTTAAACAGTTCTACCTAAGGATAAGCCAATAGCTATACAGAAGTGGATGAAAAAGTAATCCTGGATCTCGTATAGTAATGAAAGGAAGTTAAAAATAAGGATTAGAAGAACTACAAGGAGTTAGGCAAAGATATTTAGAAGACTACATAATAAAGCAAAAGTAAAGTGGATGAATTATCACTGTGAGGTGATAGAAAATCTACAGAAATATCACAGTCCAAAAGTGAGCAGTAAGATAAAGGAACTGTAGTAGTACTGGGTGTGTGAAAGATGCTATAGGGAACATTTTGGTAGATCCTGATTAGATAATGAAGTGATGATGTAAGTATATTGTGCAATTAGTTGAGAATATGAGAAGCAAAATCAAACCATCATTATGAAAGGGAATTGAAGACCCACAAATTAACATAACATTTACAGACAACAAGGGGCCTGTTGACTGATCGAGGCTGTCCCAACCACTTCAAAAAACAAAAGCAAAATTGAATCCAGCCCTGATCATTGAAGTACTCATTGAGCTTTCCTTTCAAATCCCTTAAATTTACTGTATCCACCATATCTGAAAGCAGCCCATTCCAATTGCCAACCATTCTGTTTCAAATGCAGTACTGTATAAAATTAAGTTGGCTTCTAACCTACCAAAAGTTCTATTTGCATCTTCAGAAATGCTATTTATCTGTCCTCAGAATTGATAGTCAAAAACGTTTTGGGGAATCTCTTGTTTCTTTGTTTCTTGAGTTCCTTGTTTCTCTTGGACACACCCACATGTATCCCCTTAAGTAGATTCTGGCAAATCATTAGAGTGTGTTCACTGTCTTCTCTTATGTTTCTCTTTCTTCTCTTCACATCTGGCTGTTCTAATAGCTCAACCAATTACTCATAACCTTGGGCATCTCTCTTCCTTCAGCTTACCTGGACTTGCATCTGTTCACCAATATAGCCTGTTAGTTCAGGTGTGGTGCGGTTCTGGACACCTGCACCCTTTCTAGGGTTTGGTTCCTATCAGAGCAATCTTTCATTATCACCCTCAAGATATTGGCTGCTCAATATTGATGAAAAGACATAAGAATTTTGTGTAATCTTCACTGGTAGCAAAAAGCAGCAATGGTGACAGAATTTAAATTAAGTGATTGTATGACAATTAGAAGAGGAGTCAGACAGGGATGTATTCTTTCACCTGGGCTGTTTGGTTTGTATGGAGAGATAATAATGAGAGTTATTTGTGAGAAAGAAGGTGTAAAGATTAAAAGAAGGAATATAAACAAAATTGCATATCTAAACAATACTGTCTTGATAGGAGAATCAGAAGAGTTACTTCAGAAACTGATTGATGTTGCCAAACACAAAAATGAAAAATATGATTTGGACTATGGCTGAAACTGTAAATTTTCATGTATCTCTGCAGGGATCTAACAAACCTTCATGCCAAATTTAGTAAAGGTTCATCAAAAGTGGTGAAGTAGTGGTAAAAAACATCCAGAAAAACTGCAAAATGCAAAATTTGTATGTATCTCCCCAATGGACCCAATGAACTTCCATGCCAATTTTGGTGAATATCCATCCATACATTGCGAAGTAGTTACATGAACATACAACAGACAGTATCATTATATTTATGTAGATGTATATGAATAATTATAGTAAATTAATCAAGTTTTGATTTTATAAGGAAATATTTAAATAACTCCTCAGTATGCCCTAGTTTGAGAAACATGACATTTGTTCTCTAGGTCTTTCTCCTTCTCTAATTTTATTTACCACCTCTCTCCGAATTACAGAATTTAACATAAATTACTCATTATAATATTAATATTATTAAGGTAAAGTCCAATTTCTGTAACCATCGGTCCCCTTTGTTTATGGCGTCATGAACTAGAAAATCAGACCCATTTGTCACAACTTTCCTTTTAAAAATTACCGGTAATTATTCTCTGACATTTTGTATTATATCATTTATAACCAGTGATGGAAATGGGAATACACATGAGTACACGCCGAGTACCTAGTTCTCAGTTTGCCTTATTTTTTCCATTGGTCAAGTTTAGTACTATTCAAGATATTTATTAATCCTATTCTCACGGGTCAAAGGCCATGTCATCGCATTTGTTGACTTGCATTCAAAATTTTATTGAGCTACTATTTTATGAATTTATATCAGTAAGTTTGGTATTAAATTGTAGATTATAATTTAAATTTGTATATTATACATTATTTAATTTCTTGATTTAAAATAAGAATCTCCTATCTTTTCTGTTTGCTTTTTTATACCTATCATCCCACTGCTCCTTCTAAGCATGTTCCTAGTTCCTAAAACCCAGTTCCTTTCCTGTTTATGACAAATAGTAAGGCAAAGTTTTAACCTATCAAATGGTGTATAATGCTATATTGTTTTCAGTACACAATGTTGTCAGTTTCATCTTCAGTTTGAAAGTTTATTTTGTGGTGCTCAGATCAAGTGCCTGAGGGAATTATTTTAAGACTTCTTATCTTAGGTAGAAAGCTAGTTAAATTATAATCATTAGAGGGTATTGTTTGCTTTGTGCATGTTATTATTCTATGTTCTTAGATCATTATTTAAGTAAAGAAAAATTATTTAGTGTATTTTTATAATCATTATAAAAAAAAAAGGAGATCAAATGTAAGTACTAAGTTTTATGTATAATTTTTTTTACATATTGTTATAAAAGTAACTAAAGTGTAAAACTTAACAGTTTATTAGGTTAGAATAAGGTCAGATTAGTTAAGATAATGAAAAATAATTATTCTTTATTAGGTATACTTGCATGCAGCTGGTGTTATGTCATTCAATATGGTAATGTGAACTACCATTCACTGAGTGATTTGCAACTTGTGTGTTATGTCGTTCAGTAAGGTAATGTGAGCTACCATTCACCAGGTGATTTGCAACTTTTGTGGCAGGATTATCAGTTAGGCATGGTTCAAAGGGCAATAAAATTAAGTAGAAACATGAGTAGAATGTAGCCTTAAGTTATTTAGGATAAACAATTGTAGTTCTCTGTTACAATCTGCAGTCATTCTAGAAAGAAAAAAGGTAACTTGGTCTATTTCATATTTTCTTATAGTGGTTACAAGGTTGGTCAAATCAGTGGAATCTGTATAGAGTTTGAGTAGAGAAAATAACATAATACGGTTTGACTGAAAAAAAATTAATATTCATTTAGGAGGTTTGAGAGGTTACGTAAATGAAATTTGAAAATTTTCAGATGAAGAAAACTTTTTAATCTGAGTATGAAAATTACTTTCAACTCAGACCAGTGAATGCTATGACTCCATTTATTCAGAGACAAACTTTAGTAAAAATACTTAATTGAAAGGTCTGGCTCTTTGTGTACAAAAGACTTGTAATGTTTATCAAAAGCTTGCCAGATATTGTCAAGATGCATTAAGTACTTTAATAATTGTAGTATGTATACCTTCATGGTTACATGGTGGATACAAGGTCTTGTAAAACATGCAAGCTTGTGTCCATAGGGTTAATATCAAGAAAACAAGAGCTATGTGTGGGATTGAGTTGTAGGTTCTCCTGAAATGTGTAATTGAAATAGATGAACAAGCTGTTAAATAAATGTCAAAATTTGTATGTTTTTTTAAAAGATCCAAATAAGAAATTAAGATAAGAATAGCTATGGCAAATGCTGAATATGAGTCATCTGCTTACCAACTAGAAGATAATGATGGAGACACAGATGAGGATAGTATATGTTACATTTGATCAGTGATGCTTTATGGTTGTGAAACATGCAAAATAGTGGAACAAAACTGGCTATGACAGAAATATGGATTCTAAGGAGAATAAAAAATGGGGAAGTATTAGAACATATCAAATTTGTAGACTGATAAAAATCACAGTGACAAGGAAGGCAAATTTTTTGGATCTGATGGGAGAATAGGGCTTGCATTACTGCTAAGACTGAAGGCAAGAGATCGAAAGAAAGAAAAAGAAGTATGTGGACATCTTGAGGTTCTTTGGTTGAGAAGGACAAGAAGAACTACTTGTTGTGAGAAACAAGGAACAGATAGAGATGGAGATCCAAGACTGTTGATTCCCAGATTAGGGCCAACACATGAGGATGATGATTTGACAGTTTGTAAACTTATTTGTTATCAAGTTAAAAACCTTATGTCTATAAAACACTCTTCTATTGTTGTTCACACTTTAAAATTTGTATCTATTATAAATTTTGTTTTTGAGGTTTGGTGAACTGTGACTGGAAATACTGAAAGTTATTATCATAATACAGCTGCCTGTCATAGATTTGAATAGACTTACAATAATAATAAGTTTCAGTTTGGTGTAAAGTGTTTTGTATATTCCATCACAACATAAAAACTCTTAACTTGAGTGCTTTTCCATAAGGTTTATTATCCAGTCCGTCACCATCTGATCCAGCACATGATGAGTTCCGTACAGAGGCTTGGCTTCACAGCAAATGCTGCAATTGATCATAAGAAGTTAGCTGTTGAGCTTGCAGAAGTTGTAATTCAGTGGGAGTTACAAAGACACAAGGAGGAGCAGGATCAGTCACCTTCAGAGGTAAAGTAGAAATGTTAGTTGAGTAGAAGAACTTAAAATGTTTCTCTGTTATGGTTTTTGTATATTGGGCTACAGTTAATTTGCTCATTATTCATTAATATAGTATGTTGATTAATTGATGTTATTGACCCTCTCGATATCAGTGGGTAAGAGTGTTATGTCATGAATTTTTACAAAATTACATTCAAAATATAATTAAGCTATTTTATTATTAATATATATGAGTAAACTCTGCATCAAAGTATAGTTACTAAATCAAATTTTAATATTATATAAGATTTAATTTCTTAATTTCAAAAGAAAATGTTTAAATATATTCTCAATCTCCTTTTGTCTGTGTAACATGACATTTGTTTGTTCCAACTTGCCCTGGGTTTCTCATAAAAAAGGAGAAGTTTGTCCTCACTACCATACAGTACCTCATCCATTTAGGGGTATTTTTCAATTGACGTCTCAGATGGGCCCGACCTTCTCTTCTACATCTTCAGGCCATGGAACGGGCCGTTCTTCTAATACAGTCATCATCACTGGCATGTGTGGTTCTGGCATTTTTGGGAATGTGGGCATTTTTTTAATCACTCGTTCCTTTGGGTGGGGCTTACATCTGTTTCTTTCAGTGGTCATGATGAGACCAATGGAACATTTGCACAGATGTGCTGGATTATTTGGTGCACCTGTCGGCTTCCAGCTGACTTGATCTTGGCTGGCATTTGAACAGGGACAACACAACAGAGGTACATCTTTTCATGGATGCTTCTCTCAAGGGATGTGGAGCTTGTGCAGAGGAGATGGAATTCAAGGGCCTCTGGACAGAAGATGAATCTTCTCTCCACATCAGTCTTTTAGAGCTTCTAGCAGTTCAGTGAGCTATGTCTCAGGTTCTTGAATTGTTGCGAGAGAAAGTGGTAATGCTTTACTTAGACAATTCCAATGTAGCTTCCTACATCTCCAAGCAAGGTGGCACTCATTGCAGGTCTCTTTATTTTCAGACATTGGATCTTCTCTTTTGGGTACACAATCATGAAATTGTTCTCCTTGCTTGTCATGTACCAAGTGTTATGAATTTAGTGGCTGATCATTTATCTAGTCACAACAGAGTTTTTCCCATGGAATGGGTGCTTCATCCACTAGCATTTCATTGGAGCTGTTCTCGTCTTGGGACACCTCAGATTGATGCTATTGCAACTCACTGGAATACCCAGCTCCTGTCCTTCTGGGCTTCTCTTCCTCCTTGGGCTTTGGGCATTGATTCTCTTGGGCCAGGATTGGATAGTTCTTCATCTTTACGTGTTCTTTCCAATTTGTCTCTTATCCAAGGTTCTTGCACTGATTTGCTCTTCATTCTGTTGAGTTCTTCTGGTGGAGCTATATTGGCCAGGTCAGCCTTTGTTTCCACTTGTTTAATATCTTTAGGAGTACCAACCTCTTACGCTTCCTCTCTAGCCATCAGTCTTGGTTGGACGTCCTCTATCCGGCGAACAACATGCTTCGGCTTCACACCTGGCTTTTATGTGTTCCATTGCACAACATCAGGTGGAATCTTTATTAACATGGGCCATATGGCATTCTTCATTGGATGTATATCCACATAAGTGGTTTATATATCATCAGTTGTCTCTCAGACAAGGTTTTAATCCCTCTTTCTTACTGATTTGCATGTTTCTTGATTTCTGACATGGTTATTCCACAAAGGTTTGACACTTTCATCCATTTCTCTGTACAAGGCAGCTTTCTATGCTACATTTTGTTTTTCTGGAAGAAATAAAGTTTTTGATTCCCATGTTTTATCCATGCCTCAGAAATATTTTTGGATTATCCATCCTCGACTTCCTTTCCATGTTCGTAATTGGAATATCTTAGTGGTTCTTCATGCCTTATTTATTCCACACTTTGGACCTTTGTTTAAGACTTTTTTTTTTTCTTTTTGGCTAGCGAACGTTGACATTTGTATGTGTTTGTGATTCATGTTCACAAGACCCCACTAGTGTGCTATTACTGTATCTCACTTTTGAACACCTCTTTTCTACACAGAAGCTTTCACTGTGGATCTTGCCCTCACTAGCCCCTCCACCTTGTCAGTGTGGGATTCTAGCTAAAGTGTGAAAAAATGTGTGTTTCAGAAATTAACATTTTCCTATACTGAAAATGTATATCCAATAATACTTACCTGCAGTCACACTCTCCCACCCTTCCTCCCCATGATATATCTGGTATCAGGTCTGCTACCTTGGACCATCTTGAAAAGTGAATATGAAGTAATAATTGGGAGCGTATATGCGGATCTGGGGTGGGGACGCATTGATGTAGGTGGATAGAATCACAAGATTTAACTTTCTATGGGCATTATAGTGGGGTACAAAGGCTAGAGAAAACATTACCTTAAAATTTATATATTTTATGTTATAGATTAGAAAAATTTATCTTATATATCCATTCAATTGCAACTTAATTGACATTCATTAGTATATTTCTTTTCATACTTTGTTTTGCCAAAAATATATATCTGTGACTTAGAACCTGGCCTTTTATAATCACATCAAGTTTGACTAGCTAATGGTATTTTCGGTAACAATATTCTTGTCTGAGATCAAATTCAATCTGATAAATATATATATATTTATTTATTTATATTTACTTAGTGTATTGTTTGGATACAATAAACTTAAAAATTTTCAATAAATAAGGATTTGAATTATCAGAATATTTTGCCGTCATTTACTATACTCATTAAATGTACCTAGGCTTACCTGATATTTTCTCATACAATCAAATTTCTGTAACTTTCAAACAAAAATAATTTAACACAAAACATTTTTCAGATATAAAAGGATATCTAAAGACAACATTAGAAAATTCTCATATCCATAATTTATTCATGATTTTTTAAACTTCTCATTACATTCAATTATGTCTTTTTTTTTCCATGGAACCATAACTTACTGCTCATACCACATTATTCACTCTATATTGATGTAAATAGTTTATAATCTGTTTTATCCAATACCTGTTAATTTTTGTTTGTAGCCATTTTCATAGCTGAACTTTATTAGTTCTTCATATCATAAAAGGTGGGAATGAAAAGCTGTATTAATAAAACTGGAAAGATTTGGAAAATTACATGAGGAACAAAATATGATTGATTATATTCTCAAAAGATGATAGTTTCTAAACAAATAATAAACCAATGCTTTGGGAAGGGCAGAAAAATTCTTAAGAAATCTACAAGTACATGTTTATAGGAGAATACTCCTCAGAGCTCAAAGAAATTGAAAATTAAAAAAAATTCATTTTCCTTCTGAAATACACTAAATTAATGTTATAAAATATCAATTCTAAAACATTTTTAAGGTAATAATTGTGGAAATACAGTTAGAATTATTATTTTTGTGGTATTTTCAGGTAAATTTGATTTCTCTTCAGAGTGACAAGATATGTCTGCAGAGTAACAGGCGATCCAATAAGATAGTTATTAGAAAAGTAATTCTGAATACCTGCATTGAACTCAGTTTGTGAGAAATAGACTGGATACAAATGTACCAAAATACAATAAACAATCTATATTTATGTGAGAAACAAATTACATCACCTAATTTTGGGACTTCTATACATTTCTTTTCCTAAGATTGTTGGAGATACAAGTCTTCCCATTGGCAGTGGAGTTGGACTTAAACGATCCCTTTCTGTAGAAAGTGGTCAGGACCCTAAAAGGCCTCGTAATCCATCAGGAGCAAGTACAAAATCAGGAGCTGACAGTAATAAACCAATTGACAAGGTGCATGCTGATGCTGTGGTCAATTTTTTACTCAGAATGGCTTGTCAGGTAGAAAGATTGTGTGGGTTTTTTGTACATAATAAGCAATTAACACATGCTATGGGCATTTGTTTTTCTTAGCATGTCCCAAGGTTTTACTGAGCTACATTCCAAATTTAATTAAACTACAAGAAGTGCAAAATTTAATGTAAATTACTCATTATAATGATGTCATCACTCAAACAAAGCATTATTTTTATAGCTTTCAATTTTATTTGGTTTCAGAGTCATAAGCTAGAAAATCAAACCCCTCTTGCCACGTCTACCTGTCACATTCTCTTTTTTTTTAGAAATTACCATTAGTTCTTTCTGATGTTTAATACTATATTATTTATAACCAATAGAAAGCCAAGCTTTTAATCTACCAAATGGCAAATTATATTACATTGTTTTCTGTACAGAGAATTGATTATTTTGCTTCCAGTTAAAACTTTATTCCCATGAGAAACGCATTGATGAGCTTAGCTGAATTTTTAACAGCTCTGGTCGAATAGTTAGAAAGTCAGAAAAATTGTAATAGTTATAGGACATTGTCTTGTTTTTGCTTGGTATTATTCTGTGTTCTTGGTTGTTATGTAATTGAATAACAAAATATTTAGAGCAGTAGTACTATTAATATAAAAAAAAGAAGGGTTAAGTTTCATTGACAGTCAACAGCAAAGAGAAAAAAAGAAGTCCCAGGTAAGAACTTTTTTTCTTGTTTTTCATGTGTATTCTTTATTTATTATTATAAAATGTCAAAATCAGAAATCTTTAGGTTAGATTAAATAAAATAAATAATAATAAATTTTCATGAGATACTATGCGAGCAACTCATAAGCAGCCCACGAGTTGTGTAGTTCGACAGTGTAACGTAAACTACATGTTTTTCAAGTGGTTTACAAATTTTATGGTGAGAATATTATTTTGACATGGTTCAAAGGGCAACAAATCAATAAAATTTAAGTATAAACAGATGTGTACTGTTATGAGTTTAAAGCTATTTAGGATAAACAAATTTAGTTTCGTGTTAAAATTTGAAGTCATTCTAGAAAGAAAAAAAGGATATTTAAATTTACTTTGATTTATTTTTTGGTTTATATGAGGTCAGTCAAATTGACCAATCTTATATAAAGTTAGGGGAGAGAAAATAAACAATTAAAATATATAGTTTTACTGAAAAAACTTGTTTGAAGATGAAGAAAAGTGTTTTTAATCTGGTTACTGAAAGTTTCTGAAATTTCATACAGATGAATTGGCCGAATCAACTGAGCCTGTAACGAGAGAGAGTTAATAGACATTTGTTATTAGTGTTATTCTTTTATTGACATTGTTACATTTCTTGATTTAACTGTTTGCTAAGAGCTTAGTCAAATCAGCCAAGTTTGTGACCCCAACTTGACCTTTATAGTTTGAATACTATACTTCTAATGTGTTTTGTGTGTCTTCACTAAATTTGCAAGTTTTTAGTAAGCATTAAGCATCTTTTGTAGACAAAAAGTCAGAATTTTTAATAAAGTATTTTCACTAAAAGTTTCTACTTGAATATGTGGAGTCAAAGTGCAAAATTATTTTTGTGTTAAGATTAAAAATACTTTTCTTCATCTGAAAATTGCCCAATTTCATTTGCATAATATCTAAAACCTCCTAAATATATTTCAGACTTTTTTTTTCTAGTAAAACATTATATTTTATCTGCTATTTTCTCTACTCTAACTCTATACCAGGTTCTTCAATTTGACTTACCTCATAACCACCATAAAAAGATAGGTAATAAATCTAAATTACCCTTTTGTTCTTTCTAGAATGACTTCAAATCCTAATGTAAAACTACATTTGTTTGGCCTTAAAAGTTTAAATCTCATAACAGTACACATCTGTTCCTACTTAAATTTTATTGTTTTATTGCCCTTTGAACCATGTCTAACTAACAATCCTGCCATACAAGTTGGAAATCACTTGTTGAATGTGTAGCTTAAGTTACCCTATCTAATTACATAAAGCTCAGACTACTTGCAAGCTGCTCATGAGTGTACCTTGTGAATTTTTTTCTCTCTCTATCTTACCTAATCTAACCTTATGTAATGAAACAAATTTCTGATTTTTAAATTTTAGTTACTTTTATGATAATAAATAAAAAATACACTTGAAAAGTATAATATCTGGAACTTCTTTTTTTTTTCCCTGTTGATTGTTGATGAAATTTAAACCTACTTTTTTATACTAATAGTAGTACTACTAGACTAAATAACTTTTTATTTAATTAAATAGTGCATCTATGAACACAGAAGAATAATACATAAAAAGCAGACAATATCTGATAATTATTATAATTTTTCTGGCCATTAAAAATTCAGCTAATCTCCTCAGTGTGTTTCCTGTGGGAATAAAGTTTGAACTAGAAGGAAAATAGACAATTCTCTGTATGAAAAACAATGTAATATAATACATCATTTGATAGATTAAATAATATAGTATTAAATGTTGGAGAGAACTATCGGCAATTTGTGAAAATGAGGATGTGGCAAGAAGGACCTGGTTTTCTATTTTATGACTATGTAATTAGATAAGATTGAAGACTATAAAAATAATGCTTTTTTGAGTGATAACAATGATATAATGAGTAATTTACATTAAATTCCGTAATTCTTGAATAGTTAGTAAATAAATTAGAAGAGAAGGGATGCGTAGAGAGCATATATCACAATTCTCATGTGAGAATGAGAATTTTTTTAACTTTAACTTCTCCTTATACAATTAAGAACTTAAAACCTAAATAATATTAAAATTTAATTTATTAAATATGTTTTTATGCTAAGTTTATTCATATGCTGTGATAATAAAGTTATTTAATTAAATTTTGAATGTAACTCTCTAAAGAAAAGTTGTAATACACACACTTTGACTGGCCTATAGCAAGAGGGTTAAAGTTTGTATTGAGAAAAGTTACACTTGGCATTATTTCCAGTTTAGTTTATATTTATGTGCAACTTTATATTATTAATAATTCAAACAGATTTGCTGCCAGTCATTGATAGTTATAATGCACTCTTCACATTTTCTTGTTTAAGAAACATTTATGAAAAAAAGACAGTATTAAAGCATATGCAAGTTACAGAAGTAATTTTTATCTTTTCTGAGATGTCAAATGTTTTAGCATAACTCATTTTTAATTATCACTTTACTGAAGATTTTTTGCCAGACCTGGAAAGACATTGTAATAAAAATATATTTTCTTGTTTAGAATTGCAATTAGTGTGTGTGTATGTATATATGTGTATATATATAGGTCAATGAGACATCAACCACTGTAGGTTCTCCTGGTGAAATGCTGTCACGGAAATGTGTTGCACTTTTAAAAACAGCTTTGAAACCTGATGTTTGGCCTAATGCAGAACTTAAGTTGGCATGGTTTGATAAACTCCTTATGACAGTCGTAAGTTGAAACTATTTAATAATTTCTTATTAGAACTCACTTTAAACCTTAAGTTAAGCTACCAGATTTTTATAAATTTTATATAATAGTTTTATTAAAGTACTTTTTTTAGAACCTGAACTAAAGATATCTGTGTTTAACAAATTTCAATAATGTAATCATTTACCTTACAACAAAATATTAAAAGTTTATAAAAACTTGTATTATTTTTTTGTCGTAATTAACATCTGTGTATTAATTTGAGCAGTATTTGTGAAACTTCATTACCCTTTTGGCAAAGGTATTCCTTTCTGTACATATCATGAGATTTAACAGAGCTACATTCAAAATTTAATTAATCCTACTGAGATGGATCTTCCTATGGTCATGAGCCAAAGGCATTTCATTGCATTTGTAGACTCACATTCAAAATTTTGTTGAACTACTGTCTTATGAATGTATGTCAATAAGTTTGGTATCAAATTGTTGATTATAATTCATATTTTTCTTTTATACAATAGTTAATTTCTTAATTTAAAAGCAAATAAATAAAAGTCCTAAATGTTGATTTTTGTGGGTCACGTGGTACATTGAATGCATCATTGGTTCAGATCAGATGTTTGTAATGTAAAAATACAAAGTCTATAGTTTCTTACGAATTAGATACTCAAATTACCGATATTGACAAGCTAGAATATAAGATAAGAACCTCCTATCTTTTCTATTTTGTGAGATAATATATTTATTGAAACAACCAAGGAGGCCCCACCCACCTCTTCAATTTTTGAAAATACTGCTTATGTACACCTACTTCACCCAATAACATGTGTATAACCAATTAAAAGATCAGAATGTTCCCCTAGTGGTTTTTTGAGCTTCTGCTTGCACAGGAAACTCTTTCTTTTGTTTGTAGATTCCAAGTGGTAAGGTAAGACATTAACCATTTCGAGACGGGTCACAGGGGAAAGGCCATGTCACCTTGTTTGTTGACTCACATTCAAAAGTTTATTGAACTACTATTTCATACATTTATGTCAATAAGTTTGGTATCAAACTGTAGATTATTGTTCAAATGTTAGAACTATACATTACTCAATTTTTTAATTTAAAAGTAAATATTAAAAAAACACAGATGAACATCGATTTTTGTGTGTCACGTGGTATGTTGAATGCAGCACTGGTTCAGTTTAGATGTTTGTGAAGTCAAAATACTAAATCTGTAGTTTCATATGAATTAGAAACTCTAAGTACAGATATTGACAAGCTAGAATATAAAATAAGAAGGTCTTTACAATTTGCTAAGATATTGCTCATGTAATAAATCAAACACAGTGGCACCCTGCTCACCTCTTTCCATTTTTGGAAATGCTCCATTATATACACTTACTTCTATATATGACATGAATAACCAATCAGAAGCTTAGAATGTCCCCCTAGAGGTTATTTCAGCCTTTCTAACATTCCTTTCGCCATTTATTTCTTTTGAACCAAGATTTCAATGAGGTAGTTTGTGTCTTTAGTCTGCTCGAAATTTCATATTTTTTAGACCCAAATACAGATTTGTTAAAAGTTTGATAAATTATAGTAGAATTCTATGATACTGATGTACTAATTTCTGATTTTTTAGTTATTCAAAAGTAAGGCTTAGCAAACTGCATCATGTAGCAACAGAGTACAACTACAAAGGTCGTAAGTAGAAGAGATAATTGTTTGTTTTACTTCTCTATTTACTGTTCTATGTTTTAGGAAAAAATAACTTTAAGAACTTATTTCAAAACATCAATAATCTATATACATATATAATATATAATATAATTGAAATGTGACTGTATTTTACAAAATACTAGTTGACTAAAACACAGCCAAGACAAATTACTTTGTACAGACCAAAGGTCAGTTTTATATTATTGATACAATAACATGAATGCACGTGAGCCACGTTGTTATAACTTCTGTATTGTTAGCTAGGCACGGATGAAAGGTCAATATAATAAAAATAATAAATAAATATAAATGTATAATGTTATAAGATTTAAGCTATTTAGTCTAGACATTTATGTTTTTATGTTATAATTTGTGTTCATTCTA